TATTGAAGTTAAGAGAGACAGAGGAAGATATTGCATAATCTACTTGATGAGCTTGTGTAAATGGTTGGCAGAACAGGGTTTAGGAGAGATAGTAAAATAGCAAAATTTACAAATTGCAGGAAATTGTAGAGAGCTATGATTGCCAACATCCTGAATGGACATGGCACATAGAAAAAGAAAATATTAAGTATTGTGTTAAAAAGAGTCAAAGTCTTTATAAATATTTGAAAATAGAGCTTATATATTAAATTGTTTGGAAAGTAATGTCATATTTGTTATAAAAAATAATGATGCACTCACTAAATATGGATGCAAATGTTGGCTGAATGTTCATTTCATCACTATGGATCAATTTGTAAGACTTGTATTACTAAACCATTATAATCTCAAAAAAAAAATTCTTAAAATCTAAAAATAATATTTTCTGGCTTTAAATAACCTACAAAGAGTTGATAAACCCTAAAAATACAAAGCAATCAATATTCTCTTTAGAAGTGAAAATGTTTCTTCCCCATTCACGTATAGATTTAAGTGAAAATAAAAAGGTTTCTGCACACTTTTTATTCCATCTGGGATGTTTATTTCAAAAAGCGATGATTAGAATTTCGATAAAACCCAAACATATGACGGTGGATAAATACATTTTCTTTATTGTGGAGAATTGACAACAAATATATTTGTTTTATTAGATTGAATAAAAAAAACTTCTTTTCATAGTTATTTATAAAATGGTAAATAATAAATATTGCATTGTACTTGGTTCACATATTTTTATAATCTTGTAAATAAACATTGCTAGGGAAGTCAAAAGTGTGTACAATAATAATGATGTCAAATGAATAACAATCATTTTGACATGTTTTTTTTTTGCTGACACAAAGGTTAAACATTGGTGTTTTCTCAAAATCAAGAGTGATAGTCATATTGATTTACTAGAGTTAGAGCTGTCAATCATGTCCTCATAGTGTGCACTTCTTAATTCCTCCTTCCTCTTCTCTTACAACAATCTTGCTCAGTAACCCTCTAGCTTGAGTAGTCATTATGGAACTTAATCAAAGGTATAAACAAATGATTTATATTTATTTATTTGACTTCAATTGGAGTGAGTCTTTTGTAATTCAGGGAAACAAAAATTTGTTATAAGGTTGATCTTGGTAGCAGTTGGAAGAATGTTTGTTTTGGCTCAGTAACAGTTTAGAAGTCAGATGTGGCATCACTCGATGACTGCTTACTACTTAATACAACACGATTTCTTTGATGGTCTCCCTCTCCACTCTAAGTTTCTTTGGCAGCTCTTCTCCACATCTGCCTTTGGGCACTTTCACTTTATATCTCTTTTGATGGGGATCCAGAATTACTGGCACAAAGCCAGTTTTAGCTAATATCACAAGTCTCTTTGTGTTAATTTTTTGATTGACCAAAATTATTTTATGTTCCATTCTTTTTCATTTTTTTTTTTTTTTTTTTTTAATACAGCAGAATTTGTATGGAGCCTCTCTGATTTTTGGTAGATTTTACTCTCAAATAAGTAGACTGTAGTCCTGCATACTACTGGCATTTTTCAGTCAGGTTCAGTCTTTTCTTCTTCCTCTTTTTATTTGAGGGTTGCCTTCTCGTTGGTTGAGAGAGAAGTATATAGACAAAAGGGTTGGGTACCTTGAGGCGGTGTAATGGTTGGCAAGCTTGTCTCACTAGAACAATTATGACTGAGTAGCGAGTTTGATCCTCACTGGGTGCTCCCTAGTTTCAGCCTTGTGCCACATCTAAGCTACACTTGAAAAATCACTGTAGATAAAAGGGTAGAGAGTGTGAGATAAAAAAAATAAGAGGTTTTAAAGAAAAGCAAATGCCTTATTTCAATTTGAATTTTTTTTGTTTATATATTATATTTTCATTTTTTTATTTTTTTTTTTATCGACTACAAACGAACTGTATTAAAAAATTAATTTTGTTGTTTCTGACAAAGTTTTCCTTTTTTGTAATACTTTGCTTAATTTTTTGGAAGGCATCTTTCACTATATTCCAATTCATAATTTGCATCTTGAAATGTTTCTCTTGCTGACAACCATACAAGTGGGGAAGGTGTTGAAAAGAAAAACCTTATTAAGAACTGCAAAGGATAGGAAGTTGTGGAGAGCCATGAAAAGTAATCAAGTTTAAACTGTGAAAAATTAATGAAGCATATAGGATAAAAAGGAAATAAAGAACAAATTCAAAATAATTTGAAACCATAAAATTAGTTTGGAGAAGGCTCTAGAAATATTTGAACCTAAAATAAACCAAATTGAATTTATTAAGATTTAGTAAAGATTAGATCTTTCTTAACCTACCCAGTTGCCTCTCATGCAGTGTGACTAAAATTTCTCAAAATCCAAAAAAGAATTCTTGCTGAGTTTATTCAAAATACTATAAAACACTACAAATGTTGGTTTTTTGTGTTTTTTATTTTTTTTTTTTTTTTTTTACAATGATGTTCACTATATACAAGGCTCTGGAGCTACTGAAGGTAGAAGTTTACAGAGAAAGAAGCACAGTTTATGCAGATCTGTGGGGAAAATAATGGTTAATCCTAGATTTGTACAGGTTAAGATTGTAGTGATCAGGAAGACACTCTTGGGAGTTGGTTCCATGAGAGGCCATCAATTTGTGGGAAGAAACCACTTGAGTGGAACAAATGGAATATGAAGGGAATGTGGATGATCTGCTACAATATATGTAGCATGAACTGGTAAAATGTAATTCATTTAAGCACTTTCCATGGAAATAACTGTAGCGGGGTGCAAAGGAACAATGAGTCAGCAATAAAAAATATGAAAGATTGTCAATCAGATGTAGCGGACCCCACCACATTTATTTAACTTTGATTAGGAATGATGTGGAAAAGGACAAGCAAAGAGGCTGGAGGTCACCATCAAATGTGGTGGTTACATGCAATAAAATAGCACATAGCAAAAATACAAGACAGAACGTAATGATTCAAAACATAACATTTGAATTTATTTGTTTTGATGTACATGCATATAGGCTAAAGGTTTGATAGAGTTACGTCTTTTGTATTTGGGAAATATTTTTACTGGAGCTCCCAAAGTTGAATTAGTTATTAAACTGTAGTTTTAGAAGAATAAAGTTCCTGTTGCATGTTAGGAAATGCGAGTTGGAAAAGTTGGTAGAGTTCAGAAGAGTTATGACTTTGTACTTGTGTGAATGTTGGTAATGTTCTTTAACATCTGACTGCAAGGTCAAGACAAGAATTCTTGAAGATCACATTTTGGCAGCAAGGAAGGAGACGAAAGAGAAAAAAGAGAGAGAAGGCTTACTCGTGTTTTGTTTATATAAGGTGATGTCTCACGTGATCATCTCCCAACTTAGTTTGCAGGAAATATCATTCACCGCGTGCAGGTGATCTGATTGGTCAGAACTGACCAATCAGTGAGCTAGTTTTGAGGAGATTAGCCAATTAATGCTTGTCATATGATCTGTATGTATGTATGTGTATGATGATGATAATCATCACATAACAATACAGAAATGTGAGGATGGCAATGTTTCTTTAAGATGAGGTTGTAGAGGGGGAAATAATTCATCAGCTAAAAGGACTCGGAGACACTTTTAGACTCAGTATCTGTCTATATTTCTGAGATGAGGTATTATGTATACTACTTATATTATTCGGACTGTTGTCCTCATCTTTGTTGCCATATTTATTACATTACGGCCATTGTACACTCCGGCCCCTTTTGGGTGGTTGGAATGTCGAACTGAACCCTTTATTTTGCTCACTGGGGTAGACTGTTCTAGTTTCATGTGCCATGTTTTAATGGATGCCAGCTGTCAGTTATCTCCTGTTAATTCCCCTCTCCAAGTAAGTTCTCCACTGCCTTAACCACATATTGAACTCACACTCTTTGGGTCCTGTCACTGGATCTAACTAACGCCTTTATCCACTGTGTTTTCTTCAGACAATATTGTGTTTTTATTCATAAAAGCAATGGAAAGCTTCTCTAATTAAATAATGTCTTTGTTTTATTGCGTTTTTTACTTTTTATTTTTCGATTCAGAACAGATTTTCGATAAGACCGGGATCGATTATGAAAAAGAAAAAAAAACGATAATTTAAAATCTTCAAAAAATTCTGCTTTTAGTCACTGAGTGAAAAATTATTAACTCGATGAATTTCTCAAGCTTTTATTTAAAAATTAAGGGAGAGAAACACATAAAATAAAAAATTTTACCAAGACTTTCTAATAAAAGATAATTTCATTCGTTTGTGACGTGCGAACAAATCCTGAAAATTTCATTAAATTTGAGTTGACAATTATTTGACTTTTGCAAGAATTTCCAAATTAATGTATCTGTCACCACAAAAAAAAAAAAGACACCAAAAAAGTTTTAGTTAGTTTAGTACAACAGCTGACTCAAGAAAAACAAGTTTTTTTAAAATCAAACTTTCGAATGTTCTCAAAAAGAATAGAAAATTTAATTAGATAATCAAAAAATACTTTTATCCTTCCCCTTAATAAAAACAAATAAATAAATCTGTTTTCGTTATGCTCGAAGCATGTTTTCACAGTATGCTGATTTTTTTATTTTATCGATCTCATGGAGGTACACCGACATTATTGCCTTGAAAAACTTATGTCACGACTAAATTAGTGGAAAGTGCAAAATGTCGAGTTACAATCAAAACTAATGATTAAATAAACGTAAATGAATCTTTGAATTCAAGTCTTTTTTTTTTTTTTTTTAGCCTAATCTTTTTGAAGTCCTGTCACACAACAAATAGAAAGTCAAGCGTATGGTCGGAAGAAATATGCTATTCTGGAAACCACGTGGGTTTCATTTCGTTTATTCTCCTCACTTCCACATAAATGTCCTACTAGACATAACAAATGCATAAACCGGTAATTTTCAAAACGAGGCAACGTTGACCGGTTTCTCGATTAGTTAACGTTTGTGAAAGAGGCTAGAAGAACGGGCAATAAGTCGTAAGTTAAGCAAAAATGCCGAAAGCCAAGAAAGGAAAGAAGAAAGATGATGATGAGTGGTTCGATAGTGCTGCCGAAAAGAAAATCGAAGAACAGTTAAAGGCTCTTGGACTCGATGCTAAAGATGATGACAACGACCCTGGCGTGAAAAAGGTAATTAAAATAAGGTACCTAAGTGAAACAAAATTGTCGCCATCGTCACAGTTCTTGCCCAAGTGTCTGGACAATTGACAGATGGTGATCAAATTTAATGATTGTTATATTCAGGATATGATCGAATTTGTTATTTAGACTTAGTACCTTCTGAAAAGTTTTTATAAGTTGTTTATTTATTGTAATTTTATTTTTAATCTGTTAAAAAAGATATCCCACATAAAGGAGGGAAAGATATTGGAGAAAAAAGGAACCTATGAAAATTGAAAAATATATTTATTTACAGTTACACTAATTTTTCTCTTTTTAATAAAATACGGTTAAAAAAATATTTTTTATCGGATTTTTCAGTTTTGTTTAAATGTCTGACTCTGAATTAAAGATATTTGATCGAGATCATACACTCCATCAAAGTTAATTTGAACCTCCTTTCGTATTATTACATGAGTCTGTTTTTTTTATTTAACTCACTAATCTAGTAAATAATTAACTACGCTTCAAAAAATATTGAAACATTTTTAAGTAACAGGCTCGTTTATTACCATTTAATTATTAAATCGTAGACTTTGGTGTTTTAAAAAAATTAACCACTTTTACTTTTTGTGGGTATTTTTCTTGGAATGAGCAAAGTCACTTAATTTATTTACTCAAGTTGAGAAAAATAAATTAGGCTACAAAAATTAAATTCTGTAATAATCTGGTCTCATTTTTTTTACTGATATATCTGAAATCTTAAAGTTTCGTTTATTATCTAAAAATAATTTTAAAAAATTGTTCTTATCAAAACATGAACAATTTAAAAGAAAAAACGAGATTTTTCCAGGAGGTTCCACGCTTATTTCGTTTCTGTTGGAAAAATAATAAATTTAAAAAATAAAATAAAAGGTGTGGATCGGTGAAACTTAAACATGTATTTAAAGAAAAATGAAAAAAAATAGTCATTAAACAAAAAAAACTAAAAACCTTTTTAATTATATTGATTTTTAAAAATTTAATTAATTCCTATCGCCCACCTTTTTATAAGTTTGAATATTTTGAAATTTTATCCAATCTGGTTTGTAATTTTAAAAAGTTCCTAACTTACTTCAGCTGGGAAAAGTTATTCAAATTAAATTAGTTTTACTTTTTGTTTAGTGTTAAAAAAAAAAGTAACGCTACTAAAATTAATCATTAAATTCTACTACAGCAGAAGAATTCATCACCATCCTGCAATTAAAAAGGATTCTTTTTCTTTTTTTATGTAAGTATTTGGCAGATCCTTTTGAATAATAAAACCATATGCAACAGTCAGACTCAAGGAGCAGAAAATGTACTAGTCTGGCCCAAGGAGTAGAAAATGATGAAATCGAGGTTTCAATTAACTCAGTGCTAGGTTGTTTCATTATTGATTTATTTTACTAACTTGGATTTGCTATGCCTCTGACCGTCAGTGTCATGCTGTGAAATAGTAGTTTATGTCGCATACCCACCCGCGACATGCGATTCGGATTACTGTTAGTGTTCGGATTAGTTTGTATTTTGTTTCTGTGGTTAATATTTGTAAACAAAACTATATTAGCTTTTTCTTTTTTTCTTAATCAGTAATGCTCAGATAAGATTTTGAAGTTTTAAATAATATGCAAGTTATTTTTGTTTTTGTTCTTTTTGTACGTGTCATTAGAAAGAAAATAAAAAACTAAAAGGCATCTAAAAAAAGTAGATAACCTCCAATGAAAAGCGATACCTGAGGTTTAAGATGCAAATAATGAAACCTTGAATCTCTTAAGTTTAATTTAATTTCAAGTTAATAAATTTAATATTTCCAATAAGCAAAATACTTCACTGAATTTCAATTGATCAAAATGAAAATGATTTTTTTATTATTATTATCGGTAAAAAGAAAAACACAAAAAAAATTATTCATATTAGCAAATCTTACAACACAGCATAATTATCTTTAGTTAAAAAAAAAAAACTTTAAAAAATAAAATATACTTTTCTAAAAACTTTCTTTGAGGAACATTTAGCTGAATTACAATCTGATTTGAAACAGATATTACTTATTTTTTTTTAAAACACAGAGGTGAGTGTTTTTGAGGCGTTGAGAACTCTGTTTGGAAAATATCCTAATATTTTATTGAAGTTTAGGTACTTTGGCTTTACAGCTTTACTTATGAAGGTGCTTGTTGGGGAAATGTTAGAAAGCTACTGATAAATTCTAAATTTAGTTACTGCTCTTATTTTATGATATCTTGTATGGATATCTGTATTTACAAAAATCATTATATTTATACACAAAAAATTTCAATAAACCACTGCGGTTCACTGAATTGTAGTAAGCTTTTAAATTTATAATTAGTAAATAGTTTTTACTTAACAATATCACTTAACTAGTACATATTAATACAGAAATTTAAAAGATTTAAAATGTTATAAATTATTTTAATTAAAATTTTAAAAAATGAAAACAATTCTGGTAAAAATTCAGAACTCCTTGGAGAATTTAAATCATTTTTTATAAAACAGGACCTCCCAGTTACCTAAAATCTGCTCTGAATTGTAAAAAAAAAACAAAAATGAAATAAAACTAAGACATTTATTTCAAAAAACTTTTAATTGCTTTTATGAATAAGATATAGTATGGATACTATTATCTAAAAAAAAAAAATTTTTAATGAAGTTTTAAAAAAATTAGAATAATTCAACTCCCCCTGCTAATAGGTTAAATAAAATTTTTACTGTCTTTGTGTGTATAAATTTGCTGATTTTTGTAAATATGGGCATCCATACACAACATTATCAGAAAATAAGTGTGGTAACTATTGTAAATTTAAAACTAAAGTACCTAAACTTCAATAAAACATTAGATTAAGGAGAACATTTTCCTAAATTTTTAAGATTACCAGGTAGTTAAAAATTATATTGAATAAAGGTGCTCATATTATATATAGATATGTCCCCCATAGGGATAAAAATTTAGGTAAATTTCGGGCTGTCAGTCAAGCTACTACTTTTCACCACACAAATATGTATTTCTGCGATATTCTAAACTAAAAGTAATGTTTCAAATCAGATTAATTAAATTTTAAATCATCTAATATTCCAGTTTCAGAAAAGTATAGTTTTAGTTTTGAAAGATTTTTTTTTTTAATTGTGCCATCAGATGGCTAAATATGGCACTAAAATCAGTGGGTTTTATTTTTGTTTTGTTTTTTGTTTTTTTTTTTAAACAAAAAAAAAACCCTTTCAGTCAATTTAAATTTTGAAATGCAGCCAAGTATTTTGCTTATTGGAAATATTAAATTTAATCTATTAGCTTAAAATAAAAGCTTCAGGATTGATTTTTAATTTTAAGAATTAATTTTAAACCTTTTGTACCCTGTTTCTTTAGAGGTACATCACTAAAAGACATTAAAAATATTAGGGCTTGTAAAAAAGCAATTAAAAAAAAAAATGCCTTTTTTTTCTTTTTTAAATCGGAATTTTCCAGTAAAAATAAACTTGATGAGATTATTTATAGGGTCTTATATTTTTCCCTTCCTTTCAATTTAGTTTAAATGCTTTACTCTGGAACAATGGCTCCTAGGAAGCTTCATTACACAAATAATGGAGTAGACTGCATACTACAGTATCACCAAATATTTAAATAGAATGTCTGACAAAGAAATTACATGAATGTTTTTTTTTTTTTCTTACAAATGGTATGAGAAAAATCATTAATTTCAAACAAAAAACAGCTTCTATTTGAATTTCTGGGATACGCACTTCCAACCAATAAGAATATCTTTCTCGTCTTTGCTGTTTGCCTGGTTCACACTCCTTCCCCATCTTTTGAACAGGAATAGAAGTTTATCTCTTGTTTCCTGTTCATTCTAAAGTCTTCTCATTATTTTTCACTTCCAATAACCCCTTATGTCTTAGTGGCATAATCAGCTTGTTTGAGGTGAATTGATTTTTTGGGTAAACCCTAGAGGTGTTGATGATGTTAAGATTAATCAGGGAAGTATCCACTCAAGAGTCTGTTCCACAAAATTAGTTCTGGAGAAGAAGCTGAGTGGAACTTTCTCCTTACCAAAGAAATATGAAAGGAATGAGGATGATTTGATGCAGTCTACATGAAATAGGGGATCAAGCTGTGAACGCCTGAACTGGTGAAACAAAGGAACGTAGCTGGTTTGAACATTTGTCATAGTGATAAATTAGTGAAAGGATATCTGGGATAGGGGTTGCAGGATTGAATATATATATGTGTGTGTTTGTGTGTGCATATGTGAAATTTCTAAAGAGTTTATGGATTTTTATTTTTAATCCAACATATTTTTATTACTTCAGATGTTATTTTTAGTGAATACTCATATATGAGTAGAATGTTCTGTGTGTGTGTGTTTTTTATAACTGTGTACTTTGTCTCCTGGTCAGCACATTCAAGATAACTTGGGAAAATGTGCCCTCTAGTAGGATTCAAATCTGCCCCCCCCCCCCATCATAGAAAGAACTACCATTTAAGCCAGCATGTTTTAAACCCCTCTTCTATGGAGAGCTTTACAGCCAAGCCAAGCAAGGTTCTACAGGGTGATTGAAAAGTAACTTTTTATTTATGATTGGCCAGCCAGGAGTCCTGATTTAACACCCTGTGATTTTTTTTTTTTTTTTTTTTTGTTAAAGGAGCAAGTCTACTATACCAAACCAAGACTTTGAAAAAGCTTGAAGGGCGAATACAAGAAGTTATGTCTTCCATACCACAAGAGTTCCTGGGGAAATCAGTTGACGCTATTCTTGGACAGCTCAAGAAGCTGGTAGCAAAAACTGATGCCTAGATTGAATTTTAAATAAAACCTTGTGCTAAACATGGTTTCCTTTCATATCTATTTCTTGTAAAAATTATAACATCAACATTAATGGCTGGCCACTCATATTTGAGGACACGCTCAAACCCTCAGTTATGACATGCTAGCTCAGCCATCAACAATCCCCAAGGATTCTGTCTACCCAGTTTCACTCACAAGGCTTGGGTCAACCCGTAGTATGGTTTTCAGGTACTTTTCAAAGGTGCCGCACGCTGGGATCACCTCCCCCAGACCAATAACATCAAGAAGCCACCTTCCTGACAAATTGACCATGGTGAGATTTGAACCCAGGTCTTATGGTCAGAAAGCAAACATTCTAACCACTTGGCCACATATATTTTTTTTTTTTTTTTTTTTTTTTTTTTTTTTTTAAAGATTATATTTAATGAATAAATTATAAGTATTTTAAAACGGGGTGTTACTTTTCAATCTGTATTTGCCTTAAAGTAGCTTCCTCCTGTTCAGATTTTTCTTGAATGTCGTTTCTGCTCAGTTTCGTATCCAAAAAATAAAACAATTTCTAAAGAGTTAATGGAATTTTACTTTGAATCTTTCATATTTAACTTCAAACATTACTTTTAGTGGATACCTGTATTTGAGTAGAACATAATTTTTCTTTTTCTTTTTTTTCTTTTTTATCTTGACAGTCACAATTTTCTGTTCCAATTCTTTTTTACTTTTCAGTATTACTCCATACAAAAATATCTATTATGTAAACAAGTCCATGTTTATTTATTTTGTTCATTTATAACTTGATATTTCTTTTTTCTAGAATAAAGCCAAATCTGGCAAAAATAACAAAAAGAAGAAAGCTGATTTGTTGGCCGAGCTGATTGCTGAACAAGATGATCATGATGACAATGTAGTCAGTATATTTTATTTTTAAACCAATTGAAAAGTCACTTGTTTTTATTGATTTGTTTTTTATGGCTTATCAACCTGTTTACCGGTTATTTGATGTCAGAATATATTTTTGGATTGTAAAAGTTTTTAAGAGATAATTTACTGGTGTAAGTCTTACTAATTAACTCATAGCAGGAGAGTGGCAAAGTGGTGGATTCATATCCTTTCTCAAGGGTATTTGTGTGAATATAATGAATCTGACTCACCAATTTCCAATTCTGAGCCATTATCACCACCTGCACATCCAAGCTTACAGCACCTGGTATTCTCAAGTGGTTACCCATCAAGGCACTGACCAGGCTTGATGTTGTTTAACTTCAGTGATCAGACGAGAACTTGTATTTCAGTATGATATAGTTGTAAGACCACTTGTTAGGGATAATTGCATATGTAAGCATGTGTTGGTATAGTTTTTTCACCAGAAAACTGCTAAGATGTACTTTTTAGAATTATACAGGGAGTAACCAAAAGTACATATGAGCAGTTTTCAGGTGAAAAAATGAAATTTTTTAGGTGGCCAACCACACAGAAAAATTGGGAAATATCATCTTTAGCTGCTAAAAGTAGTAAAAAGTGATACAACATTTAAAAAATAGAGTATTTGTGGAATAAATCTCAATAAGTTTCATTAACTGTCTCTTAACACTACCAATTCTAGACCTTAGTTTTTTCTCAAAAATTCAGATTCATGGTAATTTTGCAATTATGATTTAATATTTACTCGTTCTAATAAAGGTAATGAAGTCCATAGGTAACAAAACATTGGGAAAACATTACGTAGTATTTGGGTAATTCGTTCCATAAGTGTTAACAACTCTTTTTACTTCAATTTTTATAGTTGTTTGAATATGCTTTGCAAAAATTAAAATATAATGTTTTCCTAATGTTTCAATATTTGATAGCAAAAGACAGATAGAAAAAAAGAAGAGGGTGCTCCCTGTAAAATTCTATTATGTCTTTTTGTTCCATTAAGGTTTTTCATTAATTACTCTGCAACAATATTGTGATATTTTTTAAAGTTTGTTTTTCACCTGTTGTTGATGATACTTTGAAAAATGGAGTTGTGGATAGGAAGAAAGACAATATTTCAATAAAAACTTTTTTTGTGTGATCTTGTTTTAAATCTATCGTTGAGATTCATGTCTATTAGAAACAAGCCAATTTAAAGCTAATTAATTAAAAAAAGACAATAATGGATAGGCATGTGTAGCAGTTATTGTCATGGAAGATACAATCATCTAAGTTAAAATTTCAGTCATTTATCATTCATGTCATTAGGAAAAGACATGAACCTATCTTTTATTTGCCAGTTATGGGAAGAGTGAACAGGGCTAGGGCAACTACTCTAGAAAAACACATCTGATTTTTTTTTTTCTTATAAGGCAAAGATGAAACCGCTCAACTGTCTTTCCCAAGAATAGTCATAGAAAGGCACAAGTTACAGATATTAAAGGAAAGGGAGTTGTTGGGAGACATGATCACCTGTGTTCTGGGGTGACATTCTTTTTTGTTATCTCACATCAGTCACTTTCCCCACCGCTGTAATGTAGCTTCACTGTGCCTTTTCTATAAATACTTTCATGGTGATTGTTCAGATGAACTCTTCCATATGTATTAAAACAAAATAAATATTACTTTCTGCTATGGTACGTAGACTTTACCAATATAAACACAGTACTAGATTGACTGCAAGGTCTCAGCATATTACACTTGAAATTACTATATTTAAACTTAAGTTCTAACAGTTTCTCCTCTTGCACTTCTCACTTGTGGAAATCTCTTCTGTCTTCTTAATTCTTGATCTTTTATTGTTCTCTCTCCTTAGTAGTATTTTTCATATTTTCTAACACTCAATAACTCTTTGCGTTTTAGTGGCTTTATTGCCTGGTTTGTGGTGAAATGGTTTCAAAAAAGTGTATAAAGGACAACAGTATATCTTCCCTAATTTGGTCTGTGTCTATTAATAAGACTCAAAGCTTCTTGAGTAGCAGTTAATTTTACTGTCTGTATTCTTTTGTATAATTTTATAGCTAAAATAATATACAATCTTTTATTAGGTGGAGAATGCAGCTCCTGAAAAAACGAAAGGAAAGAAAGGGAAAGAAGGTGATGTTGAGAAGGAGAGTGGGCCAAAACAGAAAAAGGGCAAGAAGAAAAATCGTAGGGCATTTGATTCAGATGAAGAGGAAGAAGTGATTCCACAGCCTGAGGAGGTAAAACCAGCATCAGACTCTGAAGAGGATTTGCCAAAAAGTAAGAAAAAGCAGAAAAAAAAAGCCAAAAAGAAATTCTTCAGTGATGATGAAGAAGAGGAGGAGGTGGAAAAAGTAGAAGAAAATGTTCAAGAGAAAAAACAGGAAGAGGATATTCTTGAGAATGGAGTTGAGAATAATGAGAGTGATGCCAAAGAAATTAAAGACGAAGAGGAACAAATAGAAAATAATGAAGAAAAAGAAGAATTAGAAAACACAGGTAAGTCTTTTTTTTTTTTTTTTTTTTTAATTGGTATTTATTGTGAATAAATACAAAGTACAGATAACTCTGAAAAATCAGGGATTCTAATTATATTATAAAGAGGACCCCTCCTTATCTAAAATGATTTGAAAAAAACACATTTTTTGATTCTGATAAATATGCTCAAAGGGATGTTTAATGAATGCTAATCTATGAAGAAAAAATTCTTTTTCTTTGTGAGTGAAATGGTTGACCTCAGTAATGCCAAAAGAAGACTAATTGAACAATATCTTAAATAAATTTGATATTAAAAACATAAAAGAATTTTCATTATTAAAAATTTTAAAGTCTTTAAAAAAAATTTTTTGTTTTATTCCTTCTGCCCTTGATCACTTAAAATTTTATTTAGTAAACTTAACTTTTCTGTGCCATTAAAACTGACAGCAATTTCAAAAAAGAAACATGCAGGGTGGGGGCATATGTCAACCTATGCCGTTTAAGAATCACACCAATAATATGCACTTTCATATTAGATGCTATTTTTGCCACTGCATTCTCTGTCCACAAATAAATAAAACTATAGGTTATGGTTGGGAAGGTTCACCTACTATCACTACAGTCTCCCACTGATGTCATGGGTCAACATCATAATATATGAGGTGTTACATTCAGAGCAACTTGTGTGTGTGTGTGTAAACACACACCCATATATATATATATATATATATATATATATATATTGTTGCTGTGGGAATCATGATTCAGCAGAGGATTGTGAATTATTTTGAATCTTGTTATTGTGGCAACTAAGATTTATTTTCAGTAATAAGCACACTGGACTCTAGAGATGAGTAATTTTCCTCCATAAAATAAGTCCAAGAAATATAGACCAATTGAGAAAGGAACTCCTAAAATTTTTCAATGATCATGAGCGAAATAATGACACTACCACATTAGCATGAGATCATCTTTCATATTTCAACCAATAAAGTTTCTTAATATATTGTCACATACAGAACCATGACATGATTCTATTTGGTAAATAATTATAAAATTTACAAGGTTATCAATGGTAATGCAACTTTTGGAACACCCTGTAGAATGTTTGTTTTTTGTAAATAATATTAAACCCTGAATTAAATGAATTGCAAAAATATTTCTATAAAATAGTTATTGTTAGGCTGCAAACTTAATGATATATCTATTTATAGTGGATTTTACAAATGAACTGTGGTTAACTATGAATAGAAGAATCTCCAGGCAGACATAAATAATCCAATATTACATAATTCTAAATTAGTTGTGTACTGTTAGTGATAGCAGTAGTGGTGGTTTTTTATTTGGTTAAGTGATTTCTACTGATACTTTTTTCTTCCATGCAGAAACAAAAGAGAAAGTTGAAGAAGTAATGCCAAAGCTGAGCAAGAAAGAACTGAAGAAAATGAAAAAGCATGTAAGGAACTTAACTTTTTATCATTTTACACTTGGAATGGTCAGCTGTATCAGTAAGTTGTATGCTAATAGCTTCTTCTTTTCCGGCTTTTTGCTTACCAATCAACTTCTTCAAAAATTTAAATGCGGTGTCATCTTCTGTTGTCTTAATTTGTGTTCTTTTATTGTTCTCAATTATTAATGTTTGTTTTGTTTTTTTTTTGTATTCCCCCCCCCTGCCCTCTTCCTGTCACGCTCTTTCTCTCTCCCTCTCTCTCAGTATAACAGATGAAAGAAAGTTTAAAGGTCTGTATATCTTTCTTTGTAAACATCTTTTATATAATTTTTTATTTTTTTTTATTTTTCAAAAGCTGGAATTTCAGAAACAGCTTGCTGAAGAAGGTGACATTCGCCAGTTTACAGTGTCACAAGCTGAAAAATCTGCTAAAGCTGGTGCCCAGCTTGACAACCAACAAGACATCAAGGTAAGCCGTACATATGTAATCCTTCCTTCAGCCATTCTAACATGGACTTGCAGTCATTTGGGTCAGGGGGTTTCTTAGCAGTCATTCTGACTGGACTGGAACAAACAGTTTGCATTTCATTTTTTATTTATTATATTTAAACCATTAAAATTGAATTTTTTAAATAAATCTTTCTTGTAGGTTGAAAATTTTTCCATCTCTGCCCGAGGCAAAGATCTTTTTGTCAATGCAACTCTGCATATAACAAATAGCCGGCGTTACGGATTGGTTGGGCCAAATGGGTAAGTAAGCAGTTGATGTGTGCGTGATGATAGGATAAGAAATAAATGGGAAATGCTTATAAATCTATTATGCTTTGCCTTTATTAAAGCTTCAGGTATGTGATGTCTGCTTAACTAATGAAAAACAAACACAAAAATGAAAAATACCATTATTTTTTCTTTCTTTTTCCTCTTCCATATTTCATTCTGATGTAGCTTTAATAAAAGCAAAGCATGTTAGGCCAGAGAGCACATTTTCTTTAAGATTTCTCAAATGTGCAAGCTGATAAACATATGGGGCTTCTGTTTCAAATATGAATATCCACTATAATAACACTTGAAGAAATAAAAACATCAGAGTAAAAATAAAATGTCACTTCTTTAGAAGTATATATATATATGTATGTTATATGATTACATATAGTGTATATAATGCTAAAATTCTGTGATTGCATGTGTGTTGCATCTGCTCAGTGCATAGTGATTTAAGTGAATGAAATTTAAAAGTACTAGTTGTTTATACAGTAAATATTTTCATTTTAACTTTCTTCAGACAATTTTTTTAATTAAAATATTTTTAAGTTAAAGTCCATAGAGTAATGATTTATATTTCAGCTTTCTTTAAACAAGCAATATTTTTTGGCATATTAAAATATCTTTAAGTTAATCTGATTTAAAATTCAAGTTTATCGCTGAAGTTCTATTCGTATTAAACATAAACAGTAAAACATTAAACATGATCTTATAAACACGACCAATGATGACACAAACAAATTGAAATATTTAACTGAATCTCGATAACATTAACTTTCATTTCAATGGAATGTTGAAATCAACTGTAATGTTTTATAACTGGAACTGTCAGTGACCCAACATGGGTAGTCTAGTTGAATAATATCTAGTTATGATTTTTATTTTATTGATCAACTTATCTCAGTCTGTGGAATTTTCTTGCAGAGGGTAGTATGAAATTAAAGGAAGGAAGGTAACTTTTGGAAAGTGTGCCAAAAAAAGGAAAAGGAATATGTATTGTGGAATATTTACAAAAAGTGTTCCATGAATTGCACACTGTTAACATCATGTTTATTAATGGTATTAGACTGTTAACAGTGAGAGCAGCATCACCTAACTCTGATATTAATGGCTTCCAAACTGTTTCATCTGCTTGATTTCATTCACCGGTGTTCTGATTTGCAGACACCTTTCCAAAGTTGCTGCACACTGGGATCATTTCCCCAGGATGATATAAAGAAGTCGCCTCTTTGACAAATCAACCATGGTCAGAACTCTGAATTTAGTCATTATTTAAGTTTATGCTAAGCCATACCAAAATTTCATGCAATGCTTAAACAAAAACAATTTGTACTAATAAGTATGTTAATTTAAAGTTTCATTGTTTAATGATTTTATTTCAGGCATGGAAAGACTACCCTTCTGAAACACATTTCAGAACGTGCATTGAATATTCCTTCCAATATTGATATTTTATATTGTGAACAAGGTAAGCCTGTGTTCTAAGCTCATTTACTAGCATTTTACCAAATAGGACAAACTAATTCACTCTTTTTTTTTTTTTTTTTTTTTTTTTTTTAGCTTTTTATTTATTTACATTTATTGTTTTAGATGGTATTGTAATTTAAAGTTAAGATTACAGTCAATATCAGCTAAATAATTTTGGATTACAATACTCTTTGTAACTTCCCTTTATGCATTAATTCTGATTTTTAAGAAGTATATTTATTGTTTTACAGGGTTTTTTTGTTTTTTTTAGTGGGGAGGGGCTGCTGCAATTTGTTGAGTACAAATATTGTTCATGGCCAAATTTAATTCATCCCTAAAAATTCAGTGTTTAATAGATTGTGCAGTTCAGTTTTTAGCTATTTCCTTATAGGGAGAGGTGTGTGTGTGTACACACACACACACACACACACGTTAAATTTTTCAGAATAAATATGTTGAAAACAAATTAATAAAATAGATAATCGGAAAATAGTACTTAGTCCTTGCTGACACATTTTATTATTAGACTTTATGAAGTCAAATGACAAAACACGTTGCCAAGGACTAAGTACTATTTTCTGATTGTCTCTCACTCATGCACACATACACACATGCACATCTATATTTTATGGAGATTCTTCATTCATTTCAAAACGTTTTATTTTGATGACAGAGGTGGTAGCCGATCAAACAAAGTCAATTGATGCAGTTGTCAGCTCTGACAAGAGAAGGGCTGCTCTTTTGGAAGAGGAAAAGAAACTGTTAACTGCAAGTCAGAAAGGAAATGTTGAGAACTTGGATAGATTGAATGCTGTAAGTTAAAACCTATCTACTCTCGTTGGGATTACCAGTTGATCCTCAAAGTTAAACAATGTCCAACTGATCAATGCCAAATTTTGGTGTCAATTTGAAAATTTCAAATGTTATAAGAACATTGATATGCAGGTTTATCAGGAAATTACAAACTGTAGAGTGTTTAGTATTGTAGTGTTTTTAAAAATGTAACTACACCAGTAGGATTAATCACCTGCTGATATTTAGTTTTTTAGGAACAGTCTTCTATGTATCACGTCCCTTCAGGACATAGACAATCATGGCTCTCTGCCACTTTCTACTTCATGTGGGTCTCTCTCTTCGCTAAGACCTCTGCTCTCCATTCCATCATCCATTTACACAACCTTCTATCTTTCCCACCCTCAGTATGCCTTTTGAGGGTCATGTGTCCAAGGAATTTATCTTTTCCTGGTTCTAAGTGTTCTTTCTGTTGCCATTTTCTTCAAGACTTACTTGTTGCTTTGCTTACCTGCTCAGTCCACGGAATTCTCAGTATCCTTCTGTAGAACCAAATTTCTTCTGCTTCTAGTTTTTTCTTCATGTGTGGAGAAATTAATTAAATATTCTATACTGTATGAAAATTTTTCTCTTTAAAGACAACATACAATATTTTTCTACACTTAGAATTATTTTGCCGTTTCTTAGGACTGCAGTTATGTTTTTGAAATGTATGTTTTTCTTTTCCTTTTGGTTCCTGTCCTTATTGTGTATTTTAAATTTAGTGTATTCTTGTAAAATATGAGACAATTATTTTTATTCTTTCTGATTTTCACACTAATTACTGTAACAGTCAGGGTAGCTACCCAGAATTTGGTAATAGTCTACCATTCATCCATGCATTGAATATTGCTGCCATATCTGGTCTGGTGCTTCTGCTATATATATTGAGAGATTTCTAGACTAAATTGAAAGAATCTGCAATGTTATTGGTCCTGGTCTGGCATCTTGTCTTTAGTCACATTCCCACCACTATAATATAGCTTTCCTGTATATTTTCTATAAATATTTTCATGGAAGTTGTTTTAATGCACTTTGCTCTTTTGGTACCTTGACTTAACAAATTTAAGTGCAGTACTAAATTGGCAGCTAGGTTACATTATTTTACTATTGAAATTGCTAAATATAACTATAAGTTGTACTCTAATAGTTTCTTCTCTCTCACTTATCTGTAGAACTCTATTCCAACTTTTTGTTTTCCCATCAACTACAATTTCCAAAAATTTAAATGCAATATCAATCATCATCTTTTGTTGTCTTGAATCCTGTTCTTTTTGTCTTTTTTCCTCAATGATGTCTTCTGTTTATTTTACTCTGTGGTTCCTTGCATCCTAGTGGCCTTATTACCTTGCTTGTGGGGAAATGATTTAAAAAAACAAAAACAATAATAAAACAAAATTAAGTCCATAATAGAATAATTTTAATTGTACCTGAATTGATTACTAGCAGACTTTTGTTTGTTGATACTTGGATCTAAGATGACAATACTTGTATATGGTCATGAATCACAATTCTAACATATGTGACACTGAGCTGTTGGCCCGTGGTCAACTCCCAGTCATGGTGTGAAACTGTGATATTTTTTCTACCAGCATTGTGGGGTTGACCCTTATTTGCTGCCACCAGTCTGTGTCCCGGTCAATTGGTGATTGTTGCTACCCACCAGGATCCTTAGGTCAGGTTACCAAGTGGGATGGTCGGTCGATTCTAATGGCTTCACACCAGCTGTAACCAGTTCGACACAAGCTCCGTCATTCCCAGCTCACTTCCAACATCTGGTTACCAAAGTAACTGCTTTGATTTCAAGTCTTACCTACTCAAGTTGTGATTTTGATCTTAGGTAGACAAGATCAATCAGGTGTCAGGCCGTAGTCTAGACCAGAGGTGATATCGCACAAGCGTAAAGAAAAGAAGCAAATAAAAACCCAAGAGGTTCAAGTATGTTGAAAGAAAACAAATCAAGTTTTATCTGTCTGTTATATACAGGAATGTGTGCTTTTCTTCGAACCCATTTTCTTCAGAGTGTGACACTTTTACGCTTCTTGGGCAAGTTCTGATCTTCTAAGTCAACTGGTTTAGTTTTTAAGTGCTGGCTTAGCTTCGTTCGTCAGTATAACTTGCTATTGGTAGGATAGGCGAAGTCAGAGTTCGTGGAATCTCTCGATCAGCTTCTGCAAGGCAACACTGGTTCCTGCTACCTGAACTGCAACTCCAAAAACTCAAAACTGACTCCAACTGACTGACTGCCCGAAGGTGTTTGTTTATATTGACACCAACCCAAAACTGGTGTGGGGTTAAACGTAATCTGGGGTTTTCAGTAAATCCCGATTTCTGACAAGAAACCTCTTTGTTGTCTGTCCAGGAAAATTGATTACTTCCCATTTTGGAAAATTAATAACTTTCCATTTCAGGGGGATCCATTTGTTTGGAGAGGTTGTTGGAGAGCTATCCTTCTAAACTCCCCCTTTCTCACAATGATACCTCATACCAAATCCTTTCAGTGAGCGTTAACAATTTCCCTGTCTTTCTCATCAAATTACCTCCACCTATCACCATTGCTACCACTTGACGAATGGCGTCCCAGACATGCAGGCATGGCTAAGCTGGCCTCATTAATATTATAACCTATATATATATATATATATATATATATATATATATATATATATTTTTTTTTTTTTTTTTTTTTTTTTGTTTACAAAATTCTCTTTCCCACCAGCCAAAATTCTTATGAATAACACATGGCCACTTAAAATCTCTCAGATCTTTTGGTTACTTTGCATCTTCTTAACCAGCACTTTTTACAAACACTGTCAGTCAATTGTCAAACTCTGATATCTGGTCCCTTCATGAAGTTAGCGTCTACGAGAACCCTTGTCTTCTTTGAAAAAAAAAAAGTAAATAAATTGATAATAAATTTCTTTGTCTCCAAATCGGCAATTCTCCTGAGATATTTTGTCATGCCAAAATTCTATAATTGACATATGGCCACTTAATGTGTCAGTACTTAAGATGATATCTTGGGAAAATAAACAAGGGTAATTCTCTCTACCCCGTACTGACAAATACTTCGGAATATTTTCTCCTGCCATAACTTTTATAATTATCATATGGCCATGCCTTGCTGGTATTTAAGATATCTTGTTCTCGGGTTTTTTGTTAATGAGTACTTTTACAAATATCATTAATCAATTGTCAAAAGCTTGCATATGGCCTTTTTGTAAGTCCGCTGTTTATGCCAATTCTCAGGTTTCTGAGAAAAGTAACTAGATCTTATTTTTAATGTAAAAAATCTCTTTTCTGTTCTCTGTATTTTCTTGTGTAATTTTATGGTTAATTACCATAGCTAAATAGTGTCACATATCTTAAAACCAGCATTGTTCAACAACTCTTAAATTGCAGTTCTTATTTTAACCTAATATGATTAAGATGCATAATGCACAGTACTGAGATTCTTTAAAAAGAAAAAAAAAATAGAAAGTTCTTGATAGTTCTTGAACAATCATTGATTAGAAAAACATTTTTCATCATAGTTATCCAAACCTCTGTTAAAATGTTAGGTTGAATCATAAATAATTTCTGGTTTTGTTTATCAATTTTATTCTTCCAAGTGTTTTTCAATTAAATAATTTCTTATTTAATTATAGTCACCATCATTTGCTATGACTAGTTGCCACTTATCAAGAAGCTTTTAAATATCTTTGTGTGCAATTCCACAGGTTTTGGTCTGAATAAGGTTTTTTAACAAATTCCTGAATGGGGCTTTGATTAGAAAACGTTCTCCCCATCAAAGCATTTTGCAGCAATCAAAAAAGGTAAGAATCGGTTGGTGCAAGGTCAGGAGATTATGGTGGATGAGGTAGAATCAACAGTTCCAAATTTTTTTTTTTTTTTTTTTTTTTTTTATTTATTTGTCTATTCTTGCTGTTGTGGGCACAGTCATGGAGAACAACAACTTTTTTTATTGACAAGTGCAGGGCGCTTTTCATTCAAACTTTTATGGAAATGTTGCAGCTGCTGGACGTTTACATGTGCATTTAGTGTTTCATTATGTTTTAAATACTCTAAATGAATAATACCCTATATCCCAACACACACACACACACAATTAACTTTCTTTCATAAAGTTCAGCTTTTATAGTTCATTGTGGAGATTTTTCCTCAACAATCTGTTGCTTTGGTGTTGGACATTGTTGTTTGTAACCCATTTTTCATCATCTATTTAATGATTGGTTAGTTAAGGTGATACATTTGTCATTACATTTAGTTTCCAAAAACAAATTACTTATGACTCAATCAAATGTTTATAAAAAGGTTTAAAAAAAAAATTATTTTGATATTAGTATGCTTGAGAATATACAACAGAAGTATCCATTTGTAGCATTATACAAGTTTGGATGATTATTGGCTTCAATCACTTTTCCACTTTCATGACTTAGCTTGTCTCTGCCAATTCTATATTTTCCTAGAAATTGTTCTGATGAGCTTACCTCTTTGATAATCACATATTCATGAATTTAAGTGCAATATTAGACTGACAGCTAGGTCTTATCATTTTACTGTTGAAATTGCTAGATATAACCATGGTGATATTTTAATATTTTCCTTTCTCACCTGAGGGACTCATTCATTTCCTGTTGACTTATATCTTCAAAAATTCAAATGCAATTTCAGTTATCTTGTTCTGTCTCCTTGAATTCCGTCCTCTTATTGCTATCTCTTGTCAATAAGGTTTTCTTGATTTCTTTCACACTCAGTAAGAAAAAAAACACCCTCACTCTTAGTGGCTTTATCACCTTGCTTGGGATGAAATGATAAAAAAAAAAACTGGTTAGTTTGTATATTGTGTCAATTTATATCTATTAAAATAATCAGGTATTGTAAAATAATTCTTTATATATTAGGGGTTGCTGAAAATCTCTTGGTTCAACTGAGAAACCCTTATATTTGGTCAGATTTTGAGTTGAGGACTTTTCACAACGTGTGTGTAATGATCTCTCATAGATTTACCAAATCTTTTACTCTCTCTCTCACTTCCTCGCAGATATATGAGGAATTGAGGGCTATTGGTGCTGATGCTGCAGAATCTAAAGCTCGCAGAATTTTGGCAGGTCTTGGGTTCACGAAAACAATGATGGAGAAACAGACAAAAGACTTGTCAGGTGGCTGGAGAATGAGAGTTTCACTTGCACGGTAGGTTATTTTCACGCTTTGCAAAAAATCTTTTTTTTTTTTTTTTTTTAAGGCCAAGTCATAGTGCAAGTCAAGGTCTAACTTGAATCTCATCATTCAACTGGAAGCAAAGATTTTTAGTTTCAATTTGTGTTTGCAGTTTAAGAAGTTCAAAGAAAAAGTAAAGATAAAGGCCTTATTACAATTAATATATGATTTAGCAGAACTTTGGATTCATCATTTCCTGCCCCATTAAAAACTGGTGCACAAAATGCATTTTAATCTTTGAATTATCCACATTAAAACAGTTTTAATGAAAAGAAAAACAAATATCGGAACTATGAACTCTGGAACAAAAATGACCTGAAACAAAATAAACATGAAAGTAACTTTTTATTTTGTTTTTTTATTGTTTAGAATTAAGGTAACTATTGTTATGCAGACTTATTTTATTATAAATATACTTTTTATGATTATAGATAGATTAAAGTATACAAAATCTAACAATATCGAAATTAAATTTATTGAATTTAGTTATGACATTAACATTCTTAATAAATAATTAATCATTGATTTTTGTAGTAAAAAAAAATATCACATTTGATCATATTTTGTTTTTTAACAGTAAACTAAAATGTAACATACTCTAAAAAAAAATAACTTTTAGAAAGAAAAACACCTATTACTCATAAAATATTAAATTCTATCATCAATATATTTTTTTAGAATAACAATATCATAGAAAACAAACTGTACCAAATAATAGCATTTTTAAATAAATTTCATAGTTTAAAAAAGAATCAAAGAAAAAGTCTTCAGTATAAAAGTTTGTTAAAAATTAAGCATAAAGCATTATAAAAAATTAACTTATTGGGAGAGACTTTGTAATATTTTTTAATAAGAAAGACAAGAAAAATATCAGATTAATAAATTAGTTTTTTAAACCAAGTAAAATTAGAATCTTACATTTCGGCGAAGAAGTGTAGTAAAAATTTAACATAATCTCTTCATTTGTTAATTAGAAAAATACAAATTACGCAAAAATAAAGTTGATCATCACCAATGTATTTGCTTTTATAACTAAAATTTTCATAGAGAAGAATATTAACTTTGTGTGGAAAATGAAAATTTAACTTCCAAGTAACAAAACCATTAAATTTCTTTAGTAAATTTCGCATAAAAAACATTTCCTTTTGCAATGAAAACATAAAATAATGTATTAAGTCTGAAAGAAATAAAATGAATAAATCTTATACTTACTTCAATTAAATAGGCTAAAGTTTTTCTAGATGGAAAAAGCAAAAATTTCTTAAGCCGACTACAGCAGTGAAGTATCATAAATCCAAACCAATAAGAAAGATTTCCGCTCTCAGTGGAACAACGAGATTTGAGAGATGCTTCCACTTCTGGTCATGACTTGCACTATGACTTGGCCTTACATAAAGATTGCCATGTAGTGTAACAAAATAAAACACCCTTTAAATTTTCAGGAAATTACTTACCCCTTAATTGAGGCTGCAAGCATCTTCAAACTTTCATTACTGAAAAAAATTAAAACTGAACATTTACCATGATGTTGTTGTTGTAACTAGAGTTATCTTCTCGTTAATAAAAATGTTTTAAAGATACCATCCTACATCTGTTTGAGCTAATTTTTAAATTTTATAAATGTTGTGTTTTTCTATTTAAATTTTTTTTTTTTTTAATTGAAAAATAGCAGCATTTAAAAATGATAAGTTAGAAAGACCCGCATTAAAACTATTAATTTATTGTGATCCTTATTCAATGAGATGGAGACCTTCAGTTTTTCCTTTTAAAAAAGAAGCCTATTTACATTCTGACTATTCTCCTTATCCTGGTTATCATATTTATTGAAGCATTGACTTATGAATATGTTGACATAATAATTGTGAGTTTATGGCAGTGTACATGGGCTCAGTTTTTACCTGCACTGTTTCCACTGAGTAGTGAAACAAGAACAGCCTGCCCTGTAGGTTACGTGGATTGATATACACCTGATAACGGCTGGAGGGCCCAACATACAAAAGGTTGTGATAACAACAACAAAGATGAGGATAATAGTCCAAATGTAAATAGTGTAAATAACTCGTCATCCCAGAAATTCAAACAGAAAAGAAGCTACTTGGACCTTTAAATAATTACAAAAGTTAACATTTTGTAAAATCTGCCAACCTAGCCAAATGGAAAAAAATTTTTTTTTTTTTAAGCAGTTCTTGCTAGGGCCAAGAACTTTTCAGCACTCCTTCATAAATTTACATTGTTTAAAAGTTATGGAATATTGGTTATAATATTGAGGTTTAACAGAATTCTCACTAATTCATTATTTCGTTTAATGGAGAAAAAATATATTTATGTTTATATATGTTAGTGTTTATTATTATTTTTATTTATTTACTTTTAGAGCCTTGTTTTTAGAACCAACTCTCTTGCTATTGGATGAACCTACAAACCATCTTGACTTGAATGCAGTTATTTGGTTGGATAAGTAAGTCATTATCTCTTTCTCTTATCAGATGAAATTTCTTTTTCTCAAACAAATATCATCTTAACCAATGTAACCTTGAAAGCCATTTCTATAAAGATCACACAAAATTCTTTTTTCATTTGCAGTTACCTGCAAGGGTGGAAAAAGACTCTTCTTGTTGTTTCTCACGACCAGAGCTTTTTGGACAATGTCTGCACTGATATTATACATCTGGACCAACAGAAACTCTTCTATTACAGGGGAAATTATGGTAAGTATATTTAGAATCAAAGACTTTCCTCTTCCCCAAATTTACTGTCATACCAAACAAATAAATTGGACTAATTACTGTTGTAATTAACCTGAAGGAAAAAAAAAAAAAATTGTACACTGACATAGAAGGCTGCAGCAAAAATACATAGTCTGATACAGTTATTACCTGAATCTTGATCTAAAATTTTCACTGTATAATGTTTAATTTATATTACTAATATTTGCAATTATGTTGAAAAGTAAGTATTTATTGTCTTAAATGCATTTTTCATCACTAATTTATGGACGGCTATCTGTGAAGATATACAAAATATAAAGAACTCAAATCTTATCTCTGCATTTAAGTATTGCATTAATATTTAAGCTTAGCTTTTAAAACTTCAATGATAATTCTTCTGCTGCCACTTAATTTAAAGACCTGTACATAGGTCCTTACTTTCTGTACAAAAAATTTTTATTTCATGGGTGACCTTCACTGGATTGTGCAATTAATTTTGATTATTTCCAAATTTATTTCCAAGTTATAAAAATTACTGTACAAAAAAAAAAATCATTGCAAAATCCACTTAAAAAAAAAAAAAAAAAAAATTGCCAAAAAAACAAACTTGGGAATAAAAAATTTCAGGATTACAAATCCGGATCTAGCCAAGTATGTTTTTAATTTGCTCACGGTGTTGGCCTGATTCCAAAATGTTATATGTTGGGTTATGGCTTCTAAGAGTAAAGTTGAAAAAGTGTAATACACTGACAGTGGCATTTTTTATATAGAAAAGAAATGAGCTAGAGTTGTCCCTCTAATTGAAAAATTGATGGTGACATTCACATTTATTATATAGACAAAGAAGATGAGATATTTAAAAGTTGTAGAATTGTGTCCCTTTAATTGAAAAAGTGTGACACACTGATATTTGCATTTATTATATAGATTTTGCATTTATAACTGACTTTCATTAAATGAAAGCCTTGTGCTAATGAATGTCTCAGGAACAAAAAGCTTTAATAATATGTGTGTGTAGTAATATTTTGTTTTTTTGTTTGTTTGTTTTTTATTTTTTTATAGGTGCCTTCAAAAAAATGTTGGTCCAGAAAAGGAAGGAACAGTTAAAAGAATATGAGAAACAAGAAAAACGGATCAAAGAGATGAAAGCTTCAGGGAAATCTTCTAAACAAGCGGTATGCATTTTTTACTGTGAAGAGAGCTAAGTGAAAATGTTCAGTTTTAAGAAATCCTTTTCTTGTGTGGAGTTGTCCTAAAACAGTAAGGGGGATAAGGGAAGAGAAACAGAATTATATGCAATGAAAAACTTTTGTCAGCCACTTCGAGATTGAGATTCGCTCAATTGACTACTAAATTCTTCGCTCCAATATATTGCAGAAAAGAAAATGTTTAATGTAATTTAAGTTTAACAATGCGGTAGAACCAGATGGAATTGTAATGAAGATTACTGAAATAATCTAAATATATGACAATGGCAAAAGACATCAGCAGATATAGTATCATTGTGATGCCAAAGAAACAATCTACAAATGAATGGAATCTCTCTTGGACAATCAGTTTGAGTCACATAATTAATTAGATAATTAGGGTTCTAATGAATAGAGCTCTTAGCAGAATCAGACTACAAATAAAACAAGAATAGTATATCTTTATTCAGGTCACTGGTACAAGAAATGCAATCATTGTGATCAGAAGGCTATCAAAATGAGCAATACAAATGTAGTAAGACCTGTATTTGTGTGTCAAAGATTGCACAAAAGCATTTGATAAAGTACTGGACAAAGACCTGCTTGAAGTGCTAGGAAAGCTTGATTTATATGGGAAAGATATTTGAGTACACTATAAACTTTACTGGGAACAAGCAGCCTGCATGCAGAGAGAGAACAGGTTCAGTGAATATGCAAAATAGAAAGACAAGGATGCATTTTCTCAATAAATTTATTCAACCATTACAGCAAGATAACCCTAAAGAGAACTAGAAGACCTACCCGCATTTATTATTGACAGACAGAATCTTAACAAGATATGTTGATGGCAGGATGCAGAAAGGAAACTAAAAAAAAAAACAAAAAACTCTTAGATAAGTAGTAGTGGAAATTGACTGGCAGAAGACCTAACATACAGTTGTCTGCAAGAGATGGCCTAAGGTGGGAGTTATTTATTGGGGGATGTCAAAACCAAACACATACAGAAACTTAACTATCTGGGTAGTATCTATCTATATTTCTGAGATTAGGTATTATGTACACTATTTACATTATTTGGACTATTGTCCTCATCTTTGTTGCCATGTTTATTACGTTTCAGCCATTATACGCTCTGCCGTTCTTCAGGTGGTTGGGATCTCGAACTGAATCTTTTATTTCACTCACTGGCGTAGACTGTTCTAGTTCCACATGCCATGTCTAATGGGTGTCAGTTATCTCCTGTTAATTCTCCTCTCAAAGTTCTCCACCACCTTAATCACATATTGAACTCACACTCTTTGGGTCCTGTCACTGGATCTAACCAACACCTTTATCCACTGTGCCATGTGTCCTTGAAGGCACATGGCACAGTGGATCTAACTAACTGATAACTGACATCCATTAGACATGGCACATGGAACTTGAACAGTCTACCCCAGCGAGCGAAATAAAGGGTTCAGTTTGACATTCCAACCACCTGAAGAAGGCTGGAGCATACAATGGCTGAAACGTAATAAATATGGCGACAAAGATCAGGACAATAGTATGAATAATGCAAATAGTGTATCTGGTAACAAACAAAAATTATATGGAAATCAAAAGACATCTAGGATTAGGGAAAGATATCTTCCAGAAACTAAGTAGAGTATTAAAATGAAAAAAAAAAATATTGTTAGAAACAAAGGGAAGACAGTACTGAACTGTTATATAATATCTAATCTCCTTTTTATAGTAGTGGATGTTGGACAATTTCTTCACAGATAAAGAAGAAATTTGAAATGACAGCCATCGTTCTACAGAAGGATGCTGAAAATATAAGAAAACTAAAAGGATATTTATATTTAAAATCAGAAAGAGACAGCTTAAATTTCTGGGATACACAATGAGAACAGTGTGTTTGGAGAATTTAACACACACAGGACATTGAAAGGAAGAGAAGCTGGAGGAAACTGGGAGTAACCTACTTAATGATTTTGTGTGAATGAATGTCAGAACAAAGACAAAAAAAATGTAGGAGAGAGTCAGAAGTTACTTAAGGCAAGTAACTGCTATAAAATATTTAGAGATTTTTGATAAAATACAAAGAATCTGCAATGTTATTTGTCCTGACCTCGCATCTCAACTTCAGTCACTTTCCCACTGCTATAATTTAGTTTTCCTGTGCCTTTTCTATAAATACTTTTATGGTAATTGTTCTAATAAACTTTCCTCTATGAATTTAAGTGTAGTATTATATTGATGGCAGGGTCTCATCATTTTGCAGTTGAAAATGCAAAAGATGTTACCATAAGTTCAATGCTAATACTTTCTTCTTTCGTGCTTCTCACTTGTGGAACTCTCTTCTTGCTTTCCAGTCAACTTTGATCTTCAAAAATTTAAATGTAATGCCAATTGTTATCTTCTGTCTTAATTCATGTTCATTTATTGTTCTCTCTCTTTAAGTTTTTTTTTTTTTTTTTTTTTTTATTCATTATTTAACACACAGTAAACCCCTTCACCTTGCATCTTGGAGGCTTTATTGCCTTGCTTGGGTGAAATGATTAAAAAGAAAAAAATAATAAAGTTTCGAAATTGTAGAAAGATGATCATTCATGTCTTGAAGGGACATGGTACATAAGATTAACTTTCTTTCTACTTAGAAAGTCCTCAATAACAATGTTATATGAAGTGGATATCCTTATCAGTACTTGTTTTAGATCTTTTATATATTAATAAATTTTTTGTTGTTGTTCTTTCTCTCTAGGAAAGTAAGCAAAAAGAAGCATTGACTCGTAAACAGCAGAAGAACAAAGCCAAACAAAATATCTTTGCTGAAGATGACAAACCAACAGAACTTTTACAAAAGCCAAAGGATTATATTGTAAAGTTTTCATTCCCAAATCCTGCTCCACTGAATCCACCCATTTTAGGAGCTCATGGTAAATTACCTTTTTTTTTTTTTTTATATATTTATTAATCAATGCCTATAAATTAGCTCCTTTTCTATAGCAATTAAACAATGCCTATAAATTAGATCTTTTTTTAGTAAATGATTTGAAAATCTTAAATTGTTCAAAGTAGATCTTACTAATTTAAATTAGATATCTTTTAATTCTTTATTTAAGAAGATGGTGGGAGGCTTTCAACTGATGAAACTTCAAGCTAGTAATATTTCATCATGAAGCAGGCCTTGAGCTTTTAGTGTTTTTTTTATATGTCTTGAATAAAAACGACAATACTGAAAAAAAACCTAACGACAAACCCATCTACTCAGTAAAGTGCTTAAAGCTTAAGTTGCCTAGACAGAGCAAAAAAATGCTTAAAAACATTAAATCCTATGAAAGGATGGTCCTAGCCATAACCAGAGTTTCATGCTCATGCAACCTTCAGACAGCTTGAAAAAAAAAATATATATATATAATGAAAATTTGTACTCTCAATGAGGGCTCTTGGCATGAAAAGTCTATTGAGACTCTCCCACTTTCAAGTGGGACTCATATATAAGATCCATCAGTAAAGACCATGAAAAAGTGTCAGTTCTTTGTACCATTCCAAAAACTATCTGGGCTGAACTTTTGGTAAAAATATGAACATTTGTGAGTTCTGATAGCATTTTCTAATAATTTTAGAAAACCATAGGTCCCTGTCATACTGCCCTGGAGACAACTTGGTAGGGTGGGATCGATCTAGTCTTTACTAAATCTTACTAGATTCCATTTGGTTTATTTTGAGATCAAACATTCCTAGAGTCTTCTCCAAATTAATTTTATTAATTCTATTTATTATTTTTAATTTATTTCCTTTTTATCCTCAACACATAATTAGTTTGCCTGAGTTAAGTGATTATTCCTAATTATTTTTTGCTTGAAATTGTCATTGGGCATTCTTATGCAGTAAAATGCTTAATGAGGGTTATCACACTGTTATATCCCTAATACAGTAAAACATTGAGCCAGGAGGACCACCCTGTTATGATTTAAATGACTTTTCACCACGTGTGTGTGTTACAAGAACTACTCAAGGTAGAGGGTTACTGTGTGGAATTGTATGAGAGTCTGACACCTCTGAATGTTGACTTTAATATATATATATATATATATATATATATATATATATATATATATATATATATATATATATATATATAAATATCAGTGGAAAATATACATACATAAAAATTATATAAATAACCATATATATATATTTTAGAATAAAAATTCCAAGAGGAAGAATCCAGGTAGAACTCAATGTCTAGGACAGAGTAAGGATATAATAAAAAAAGGCTTAAACACTAATATTCCATGGTCATAATTTATTACATTGGAATCGTAAATCATATATATATATATATATATATATATATATATATGAGAGAGAGAGTATGAAGAAAATTGGTGACTGAGTTCACTGAGGTCCTAAAATCTTTACAGTGTCTCCTGCCACAAGTGAAAAATAAGATGCAAACCATAGCATCTATGTAGATGTAGGCATATGGTAAGCTTTGAAGAAATGGTGTGGCAGGGAATCTACTAATTCACAGTATGTGACTTGTATTATTTAGCTTGTACCATATTTAATCTTTTTCTTTTATAAATTTAATGATGTTTTGTCTTTTCCAGGTGTGTCCTTTAAGTATGAACATAGTGAATGGATTTTCAAAGATCTGGATTTTGGTATCGACATGACATCTCGAGGTAAACGCTTGTCTTTATAACCAATGCTAAATAAATTAATCTCTTGTTCATGTTTAACTACATTTGATGTCAGAATAAGAAAAAAATCTCTTTTTTTTTTTTTTTTTTTTTTTTTTTTATTATTATTATTATTATATAGAATTCATGCAAGGTAGACATTTGGGGAGGGGAGGAGATCAAGTATCATTCATATCTTGTTTATATAATGATTATGCTTCATTTTTCTTTCTGCAATATTATTATAGGCTCATTTTATAAAAACTTTTAAAGCCAAATCATTGTCAGAATGGTTTGCCAACACTTATTTTTTACCTATAACAATGTTAGATTGTCATGATAATCTTGTAATTTGAAGAATATATATATATTTTTTTTTTTTTTTTTTTTATAAATGTTTGAAGAAATTGAAATTCATCATCAAAACTGGTCTAAAATTAATTACAAGCCTACATGTAATTTTAGTAAAAAGGTGGAGTTAAAATATAAAAACTCAATTTGGAAAATTAATTTCTATAAATGACAATGTATTGTTTAGTGAGAAAATTCTCTTCATTTCTCTTATTAGTTGCTATTGTTGGGCCAAATGGTGTTGGGAAAAGTACATTTTTAAAGTTGTTAAAAGAAGAATTGGAACCAGTAAGTATTTTTCTGTTTATATTTATTTTGAATAAGTTTCAATGCTTTGAAAATGAGTGCTAGTGTGATTAAATCATTTTCTAATTCATGCAAAAGTGTTTTTTGTATTAAAAAGTAATAAAGGGACTTCGTAATATTAGGAACTTACAAATGCCATGGTAGGAGTGATTTTTTTTTTTCCTACTTCTCTCTCTCCCCCTCCAACTACAAATTAAATAGAGTAAACTGAGATTTATTAGCCTTGAGTGGCAGTTTAGGAGAATGACAACTCTGAATTAGAACCATGGAGGAAAAAAAAAAAAAAAAAAAAAAAATGGTGTATTTTACAAATCGTATAGAATATTTCAATATTTATAGTTGTTATATATAATATATTTAAATATTATGTTGGTTAAGAAATAATAGTAACACCTATAAATATTGAAATATTTGATACGATTTGTAAAATACACAATTTTATAAATTTTAACTCCCATATCCATTCAGGATGTCAGTGACCCTGAGTCTTCAGTTTCCTTTTCTTCATTGTGTGTGAATTGCCAGCCTTTGTTTGGAAAGATAGTGGAGTGACTTCCCATTGTCATTCTCCTAGACTGCCACTCACAGCTAATAAATCTCAATTTACTCTAATTAATTTAGAGAGAGAGAGAGAAAATCACTTCAACCATGGCATTTGTAAGTTCCTAATATTACAAACTTCCTTACTTTTTAACACGAAAAACACTTTTACGTTAATTAAAAAATTATTTAATTACACTAGCGAATTTACCGTAAGTGTCATAGATTTTACTTAAATAATGTTTAAATATAAAATTTTTAAAATCGTAATATACATATACTTGATATGGAAAAATAATTTTACTTACTGTAAGTTATTCTAATACATTTACTTCTATTAAAAAGAAATATAGTCTATTAAAACCAACAGTGAAAATATTTTAAAGTTGTAATTAAAATTGTAGTTAAATAAAATGAATTCTAACCTAAACTTCTTTTAAATTGTAATTAAATAAAACGTTTTCTAACCTAAAGACCTCCCTCTTAGTACTACACACACTTAAAAATAAAACACCTACAATAAAATGAAATTAATATGAAATGCTAGAAGATGTAAGCTTTTGAATGACCCATGTCCTTTGTACTTACATGAGAAACAATATATTACTAGGTTTATATAAAAAATAAAAGTTTACTAAATCAGTGAAATTAATTAGCTATTTTTGCCATCATTGTCATAAATTTTACTTAATAATATTTAAATATAAAAAAACAAACATTATAAACTTATAATATACATACTTATACTTGATGTGTAAATAATTCTACATACTGTAAGGGATTGTATTAAATTTAATTGTTCTTAAAAGAAATATAGTATATTAAAAATTAAAAGTGAAAATATTTCAAATCGTAGTTAAATAAAACGTATTCTAACCTAAACACCTCCCCAAAATCTTTAAATAGAAAAATAGAAAAAAATGCCGTAAGAATTTTTGCCGTTAACAATAAAAAATTTTTAAAAAATCCAGACGACATGCATTTAATAAATGTCAGATTTCATTGAAAAATTCATCCCTACCCCCTACCAAAACGTAACTAATAACTGATACATCAAAATACAGACATAATGAACATGCAGACACCCCTTGTCTGGTGGAAGTGGATTTATCTGTAACCTTGGAAACGTGAATTATGATTTTTGCTGTGTCTTTAAAACCCAGTAATTTTAAAAGTTACTCCAGAATTCACTTGAGGATGAAATGGAACTAATGTCTTTAATTTAATTACAAAATTAAATTCGGAGCTTTTAGCTTCCATTTTTTGAAACATGGTTAGAACTGTGTAGCGAAAAAAAAAAAAACATTTTAAATCAATATATATATATATATATATATAAGTTTCTGTAGGGTGCTATATTAAGTAAATTATGTCCATGCAATTATTTTTTGCTTTAGTTCAAAATTTCATGGCTTTATGCTTAACTTTTTAAAGTGACCAATTGTTAAGAAGTCTTAGTGCCATTTTGCCATGTGGAATGGTCTTTTTTTCGTTCTCTTGTAAGGAGTTTACAAAAAAAATTAACTCCTGTTTTGAAAGTACCTACTACTTTAGTGAATACTGGTAATGTTCTCATCCAGGTGCTTTAGATTCACTAAATCTCTATATCCATGTACTGGTAGCTATCTTTCCTCCACTTTTCCCTTCTCTTACTCTGTTTTCATCATCTGTCCCTATTCTCCCTCTTGCATGCATGAATAAGAAGTCAGGTCTTGTCTTTATCCAGAGACTATGACTACAATGTGTTAAGTCGACAACAATAACAAAAAGAAAATTATTTGCACTTTGTTTGTTTTTTGTTTTTTTTTTCCTTTAAAAATTGCATTTTGTCATTTTTGTTTTCTATATTCCTCCAGCTATAAAACAAGGCTTTTAAAAATATTGTTTTGATCTTTTAATAATGGCTGTATCATTTCTGCTTTCAGATTAAAGGAGAAGTTAGGAAGAACCACAGACTTGTAAGTGACTTCCAAGAATTTAACGGATTTTATTTATAATCCAACATCATTTCTCATTACTTTAAATGTTATATTTTGTGGATCCACATGATTGAGTTGACGTTCTTTTTCTGTGTCATGTCCCTTAAGGACATTGGTGATCATGGTTCCCCACAATTTCATGTCCATTGTATCTCCTAGTAAATTTTGATGGGATCTCTACTCAAACACATCTATCCATTAAATATGACATTTAAAGTCATAAAACTTATAATGCAGCAGCTTTTTTTTTTTTTTTAAATTTAATTTCTCTTTTTCTTTTTTAAATCTTGCATTTTATTTATTTTTTAAACTTAATAGTTGTCAACTTCATACATTTCACATCTATTTTTAAAAGATTTTAATTTAATTTTCAAATTGTTTTGTAACAATTTTATTTATAAATTGATTACAAACAATCCCAATGTAAATTTGTGTTCCTTCATGGAAAATTAAGTCCATGGTTAAAAAAAAAACCAGAAATAATATACTTTCCCAAAATAAAACTGTTTCCCTGATTATATTTTTGATCCAACTACAAAAATGACACTTTAACTTGATAGTAACAGTATGATAGTTGTATGACCAGGTAATTAGACTGGGACCCAGGTTCAAATCTCATCATGATTAATGTATCAAACAGGTGACTATCCTGATGGGTGGCACTGTTGGTAAATGCCTGACAACCATACCACAGTGAATGTAAATAGGTAGACAGAGCTTTTTGGAAGCATGAAGTTTTGAGGGTTTCCACATGTTGGCCTTATTTAGCTATTGATCTTACCAAATTATGCACTCTCTCTGGAACTGTAAGGTCTACTCAGCCTAGTTGTGATGTAAACTGCAGGTGTGCTCTGTGGGTATTGAAGAAACAAAGATTTACTTGAGTAAGCATTTGCAACAGGGCTTAGCTAGCCACCTTAGTAAATAAACTCCTTAGAGTAACAGATACTGACAATCAGTAAAGCACAATTTATAAAAAATAATCCATTATAACAAAAATGCATTAAAAATGTTTTCAATTGTGTGGCATAATTGGCCATGGTTAAGTGTAATCAGTGTTACTGACAATTAATGCAGAACAAAGCTTCAAAACAAAATATATTTAAAAAACAAAAAAAAAACTCACTGTCTAGAAGATGCCAGATTTACCACTCAATAGTGGAGGAATTTTTAGCAGGATCAAATGCACACATTCGGAATGATAACCAATAGTGATAAATGACAAAACACCAATATACAAATTAACAATATTTACTTATAACTAGACACAGTATATGAAAGCATTTAGGTGAGAGAATGCGTGGAAAGATGTATGCTATACATTTCTGTGTAAAAAGATTCATGCATTGTTTTGTGAGGATAAGAGCTGAAACAAAAACTTAGCTACGGTTTTTCTGAAATAAAATGAGATTTTCACTTTTCCCTTTTCTCTCTTATGTTTCTCTTTGTCCTTTTTATTTTCAAATCAGTTTATTCGCTCAGGTCATGGTGTTCGTTGATCTATTCTTCTTTCTTCAATACCGCATTTGTTAGTTGGTTGAGGAGGTTCACTGCTATAGAAGTTGTACATTCAGTTATGAAGGTTCGGCACTGTATAAGTCACATATTTAGCTGTGTAGAATTCCTAGTTTGGATCCTTTGTCTAATATATCACATATGCATTTCTTAGGTGACCGTCATGTTTTGCCATTCACCTATGCCTTTAATGTAAGCAGCATAGTGTTGAGTTTAATTGGTGTTCATTTTTATCGTGTGAACTCTCTTGCTTGACTGTAACAAGTAAAAGAAGAATTTATTTGCACAAGACTTGTTCTGCCTGATTCTGTGTTAGGAGTTTATGTGAGTTGGGGATGGCAACAAGGGAGATAAGTCATTAAATGTAGATTGTGTGTGGGTATAGGTTGTCAGTTGTAGAACGCCATAACATCAGTAAAAGGCTCAACAAACGGTAGTCCTGGGCATGACTACAGACTATAAACTACATCTAACAGCAAGGCTGCTGATAGCAAAATGGGAGATTTTGAGGAGCATGAAACCCCCTCTTAATTTATGTTGTCCCCAGGTCCACTCTGAACCAGGGTGGTAGCACCTGTTGCATCTCAGCTATGGTCAAATAGAGAGAACCCCCACTTCCCAAACAAAACCCTATGAAAGTATAACACCACCTATGTTTAGTAAAGGTCCAAACAACACATTTTATCTGTAGTTGAAAGAATACAATTGCATTCAAAACCCCTAAATTTCAGCATTAAATAACTCAAAGAGGTTGATATGTTGCTAAACAAAATCAATCAATCAACCAACCAACTCAACAAACAGAATTGACAAATTTTTAGTGAAACAAGAAAAGGACGAAAAAGAACAGGGCAAAATAATACTAAGAAAAACGTGAAAACTGTACAAATCAACAGTAATAAGGCAAAATGTTTACAAAGAACAGACAAGTGATTCTAGTGTTTAGACTTGAAGACAAAGAAAAATATGGCTAATGAGACTGAAAAGTTGTCTATTTGGTTAGGAAAAAATCTCAGCATGCAACTGTACAGTTTGTCTCTAAATTTAGTGGGGAGATGTTTTTAGCAATTATTCCTGTGATTGAAACCAACAAATAGCCATCTTTTTTTTTTTTTTTTTTTTTTTTTTTTTTTTAAATAACCGTGTCTTAATGATTTTAAAAAAAAAAAAAAAGTTTTTGGTTTGTTTATAAAATACATTTTGAGACTATTTTGAAAAAATCTAATTTTCAAATTATTTATTGCTTTTGTACACGAGTAATAACTTCTATTACATGCTATTTAATAAAAGTGATTTGATTAAAATAGAAATTTATGAAACCACAACAGAAGCAAAAAAAAAAAAAAACATGAAGTAGAGATCTTTGGTAATTTTGAAATAAAGTGATGCAAATTTTCCCCACTGATTGACTTTTTATATGATATTCATTATGTTTGTAATTTTTAATTATTTTTGTAGCTTAATTGAAAATATGATCAACATTCTGCCGAATTAGCTGAACCTTGATGAAACTCCAGCTGAATATTTACAGGTAATATTCTTCAGAATGTTAACAATCATTTCTCTCTACAATTTCCTGTTCATTGCAGCTCTTGATAAATTTTGTCTTTTTGTTATCTTTTTTTAAACCTTGTTTTGCTATCCATTTACTCAAACTTGTTAAGTAAGTTGTGTGTTCTTTTCCTCTGTCTTGTGAGTATCAAATTTTTCCCAGCTCTCTTATGTGCTCTAGAAATTTTAACTATTTCTTCCTGATGTTAATTATAAGTTTTTATTTTATCTAAAACTTTGTCATTGCTCGCATGTTTAGTCCATGATATTCTCAGCATCCTTTTGTAGAACCCTAATTCTCTTACCTCAAGTCCCTTTTTCATCTGTGATAAAATTGTCCAGAATTCACTACCATGTAGGATATATAAGCTGTTATTACATCACAGTTCAGTAGTGTTTTCTTTGTTTCTAATGAAATTTTCTTGTTTCTTAATTTTTGGCTTAGGTTTTGGAAAGCATCTTGCACCATCAGATTTCACTGTTGCATCATTTTCTATCCTCTGTTAAAATGCTTCCTAGATTTTTTTTTTTTTTTTTTTTTTTTTTTTTTTTTTTTTTTTCATTGTTGAGCTCTTCCTTTCACTGACAACCATACATTCTGCCTTCTTATAATGGAAGTTTAGTCCTTTCTTCTTACTTTCCTTTACTACCTTCTTTAGGAGTTTCTGTAGTTTCCTTTCTATCTCTGCTATCAACACCGTGCCATTTGCACATCTTATGTTGTTGAGATTGTAGCCACCCATAATGAATCCTGGTAGGACTTCTAATTCAGAATTGCCTCACTGTATAGGTTGATTAAATCCGATGAGAAAGCAAAGCCTTGTCTTGCACTCCTTTCTATTTTTGTAGAGTTACGGAATTCATGTTCGATCCATATGCAGGCAATTTGTTGGCAGTATAGGTTCTGGATTATTCTAATATCTTTCCCAAATACGTCTTGATTACCTAACAGTTCGAACACTAAAAATTTCTATTTATACTTGTCTCATATTTGTAAACAAACAAACCTGCTCTACAAACACTTAATGACTGTAACAATACTTTGCTTATACACTCAAAACACAACGCATACCAAGTAAAAAGACTTAAGACACTATGGAAGTAGTAGCAAAGAGACAAATCAAGAATAATTGAACGTTTAGGCAATTGCGAGAAAGGAAGAAGGATCAGGGTGGGCGGCATACGACAGTGAAACACTAATGGGCTGCATCACCTAGCAATCATTTTATGGGAAAGAGGAAGAAGTGTGAGACTATTGAACTATAGACACCAACTGAACCAAAATGATCGATCCTACTTTTATCTTTGTGCATTAATGAATTAAATTAAAAAAATCTTTATCATTTGGATTTTTATGACATTTCTGATAAATTTGTTGCCATTCGTTCTAACATCTAATCTGGTATCATGCTAGCCAAGTTTGAAAACTTAATTTCTGTTAAATACATGAATTGCGTATGTATATTAAACACACTGTCATGATGATTTACTAAGCATAGCTTAGATGTGGCTATTGTATTAATGATCAAATCTCGTTTAGGTTACAAAGGGACTGAAAATATTAATATTGTTGTAAAGAGAGTAACTCTGTTTAATTAAACAAACTACTATTATATATTCCCCTTTTTTTTTTTTTTCTTAAGGTAATTTAAATTTGCCAAACAGAGTAATAAAAGTTGTCAGTCTGTAGGACTCTCGTGACAATGGGATTTGCCAGTATCCACTGTTCATATCTAACTTGGTCATGACTTTGGCTCCATTCAATTAAAATAGCATGTTCACCCCGGCCCCTCAACCTCTGGTGTCTTACTCCCGGGGTTGAGATGTCTACTTGGTCCTAACTGAACTTAAGGGAGTGGCCATAGGTCCCCTGAGCATCCGTAGATTATTCGACCGGTCCGCTGGTTTAATCCTGTTTCCTGCCCACGTTGTGATTTGTTTGATCCAGAAAGCAGAAGTTCACAGTTGACTGAAGATGTAGACATGGCTGGGGAGTCTGCGCTAAGAAATTTAGAATGCAGCAAAAAAAGAAAAAAAATTAATATCTGCAGAAAGCCAGACAAACATCGATTCAATGGTTGAATTGGTAATGTCTTTTATATAGCAGGAAAGAATAGTAGAGAAGAGAAACGGGTTACAGAAAAGAAAAGTAAAAAAAAAAAAAAAAACTCTCTCTCTCTCTCTCTCTCTCTCTCTCTCTCTAGAATCCAGTGTATATGTGATTATCTTGTTGTTAAATCATCTCAGAACGATATATTACTCTTGGGATGGAGGGATAAAGATTTCTGTGCGGTGCTTAAAGTTATAGTGGCGTTCCTTCTCCCAACACTTGTCCAGGCCAATTCTCTCTTCTCTCTTCAAGAATTTTTTCCTGTCTGTCTTTTCCAGCATAACTGTGCATTTATATAGATAAACCCGGTTGGTTATAACTGACCCTCGGCCCTACTACTTTGCATGCGATTATCACAGGGTTCTGGCTGCTTCAACCAAAATCATGTGAATTCAAAAGTTCCTTCTAGCTTACTCAGCTCTATTTCAATTTTGAATCGATAAGATTTCGGACGTTTTCATTGTCTACTGATGATCCAGATTCAATGGGTACAATTTCTGCCCTAGATCAGGTTTCCCCATCCGTAAACAAAATGCTCTGATTTAATTTTGCTATTCAAATCTAGTTCAATTTCACAAAATATATATATATATATATATATATACACGTGCGTGTGTGTGTTTCCAGACTCTCTCTCTCTGTCACAAGTAGCATAATGCAGTTCTCTTTTGACATATGTGTTTAGTTTTGTCAGGTTAACACATATTTTGACCTTTCCATTGTTCTTAGGCACCACTACTATTGAGAAGCACCAATCTGTGGGTTCTTTGATCCTGCTTCTCACTCCTATCTCTTCCATTGTCTTGAGTTCTTTCTGTCTCTCTATCATCAATGGCTATGCGACATGATGTAGCGATATGGTGTAGTTTGCTCATCAGTATCTCTGATGATATGCACAGCAGAGTTTACAGTCACTATTTTAAGTGCTTCAATGACTGATTTTTCCTGATAGTGGTTCCTCCAAGTCAGGAATGACATACATGTGTTGGCTGTTACCCTTTATTTCCTTGAATGGTTGTCTTCAGTTACCCCATCACTTTTAGGGGATTAGGGTGTGAACCATGTAGCATCTCCTTTGCTTCTACTAGTGCCAGTAAATCCATTCTTGTACAGTATTTACATTAGTCGGACTATTGTCCTCATCTTTGTCGCCATATTTGTCACAACGTTTCGGCCGTTGTACACTCCGGCCTTCTTCAAATATGGTGACAAAGATGAGGACAATAGTCCAACTAATGTAAATACTGTATATGATACCTCATCTCAGAAATATAGACAAAATCCATTCTTCTATAGATGTTTTCTGGGATTGCAGTGACATCATCTTCAGAGTTTATTTTGAATTATGCTGGCATATGATTTATTGCCAGTTCAATTCTCCATGGTTTGCCATATTTAATTTCAGCTACCATCAATAGACCTGGGGTGGTATTTTCATTGCTGTTATATGAGCAGTCCTCATCCTATTTTACCTCATAGACTTTCTTCAACCTGCAACACTGCATAATGACTGTCTACAGTTGTGGTGTATTGATAGAATGGTGGTGCATGCATGTCTCTGGTATTTTTCTCTGTTACTGCAATGGTGATTACCCTGTTTCTGGATTGAGTTGTTGTCTGTAACCTTTTTGGTCATAGGCTTGGCGATTTTTAGAGGGGGTTTTCTCCTCTTTTGTTGTAGATTTTTAACAGTAATGTCTGTCATTTGTGGGAACAGTGGCCTCTTCTAGTTGCTCAATATTTTTTTTCAGGTGGTCCACATTTGGGCTTCTCTTCAAGGCTGGACACAGTTCTGTAGCGAGTGAATCTCCTTATCTACTTTGGCCATTGTCCTGGCTGGTCAAATAGGAACAGTTCTGGCATTGACACATTGCTGTTCATTTTTGTTTCTCTAACATCAACATGTACATCTTCCCTTATCCTCCATTATTCTGCTTTCAGTTTTATTAAAATCCCACTTCTGACACAATGTTGTGTTAGTTAATAGTGACCAAAGCCATGCATATGTGTCAGGTTTCAGATCCAAGATGGCAAGGTTGGCCCTCCTTTATTTATATCTTGTTTGGGTTACAAAGGGAATATTAATCTCATTCTAAGGGGACTACCTCTGTCTGTTAAATAGACTACTATTACAATGGCACAAAACTGAATGTTTGGATTACCTAGGGAGGATTGAACTTACTATTCATTCATAAATGATTCTAGCGAGGCAAGCTTGCTAACCATTACACCATGCCAAAGTACCCAAACACACTCTTATGACATTCTTTTTTCATGCATCAAGATGTCTTGTTTTAATTCAGGGATACAGGTTGTGAAGAATATTAAATTTAACAATGTACAAAAAGTCATTTGTTTCAATTTTTTAATTTTTTTTATTTAATTTCGCTCCAGTTATTGGCAGTTATTTCCTCTTTCAGATTACTCATCTTCACAATACAAAAACACTCATAAAATAATAATAGCTATCAATGAATTCTCTGTTCCAGGTTCTTTGCCTCCTATTTGAAAAGATTTTAAGATGCATTCCCTTGATGTTTATATCTGGGAAAATCTTCCAATTGCAAGGAGAATCCCCAGATGATTCTTTATGTGCTTTCGACTTTTGTTTTTTTGCATTCTGTTAGCCATCTCTTTTGTTTTCCTTTATCACATGTGGAACTCTCTTTTGGCTTCTTGCTTTCCAATCAACTTTGACATTTAAATTTTTGAAGATCAATGTCAGTCGTTATTTTCTGTCTTCTTAATCTTATTATTGTTGTTCTTTTTCCTTAATTTTTTTTCTTTCTCTCTTATTCTCTCACACCCATGTGTCTTAGTAGCTTCATTGCCTTACTTGATACTTTTATGATACTTTTTTTTCTTTTTCTCTTTATAAAAAGAAAGCTTCAGTAAATTTAAAGTGTTTGCCATCATTTAAATGTATAATGATTTAACTGTATTTCTATTTACTTTTGACATTTATTTTTATACTGTGTAATAGAATTTTTCAACTTTGACAATGATGGGTGATTACAAATAAATATTTAATTAGCATTATTTTCATTAAGCACATTCTACCTTCTTTTTTTTTCCTTTTCTTATGGTGTATGCAGACACACACAAAGACATAACTTTGCATTTCAAAAGAATCACTTTAACATCAAGCAAAAGATTATTTCTATCAGTTTTTAATCATTGATGTTCTATCCTTTTGAGAAGTACTGCATATTTTTATTAAGAAATGACCTCTTTGCTTTGGCTAAGAAACGTCTTGGTTACCTACAATGAAAGTTTAACCTTATCATTCTTAAAAATATCAATTGTTAAATTCCTGGAGTCCTGATCAAATTATTTAAAAAATCTGAATATGTGATGTTAATGCAATTAAATTATTATCACTCCTTTCTATTTACTGATATCAATCTATTCATGCCTGTCATTTGGTATCTAGGACCTGACAGTATACAAACAACCACAAAGTAAATGAATTCAAGTAAAATCAAAATTGAGTGAGAGGGGGGGGAAAAAAAAAAAAAAAAAAAAAAACTAATTTTGCAGCAAACAAATGAAATATATATATATATATATATATATATATATATATATATATATATATATATATATATATATATATAATGTGTGTGTGTAAAATGACTAATATAAAATACAATAAATCATTTATTTTATAAGATCAATTTTTGCCTAATAAAAAAGAAAATGGCTGTTTTTTTTTTTTTTTTGTTGCAAAATTAAACATTATCTTCACATTTAAAATTGAACTGTACTTAATAAATCTGTGTACAGATAGTGCAAAGGTAGTGGTAATACCAAACTTTAAAAGTAATTTTTATTTCCTGCCATCAGCGACTGTTCAATTTGGGATACCAAGATGCCAGAAAGATGTTAGGACGTTTTGGCCTATCTAGCCATGCTCATACCATTCCTAACAGAGATTTATCTGGTGGACAGAAAGCTCGCGTGGCTTTGGCTGAACTTACCTGCAGAGCACCAGATGTTGTCATTTTGGTAAGATAGAATTTTTTTTTTTTTTTGTTTACTATCATTTTATATATTATTTTATTGGTGGTTAAAAAAAAAGTGACATGCAAAAAGACACACCACACAATTTTCACCAATAACACAAATGCATTTTTTTTTTTTTTTTTTAGATGCTTATTTACGGCATTTGTGGGTTTGACAGATTCATATTTATCTACTGTTGTTTTATGGGGCTTTAGGCATTAAAATAGTAATTGAATTAATGTGAGCGGCTTATATATATAATTCATAGTACTCAGTAATCTTAAACTTTTAATAAAATATTCTTTGTAATCTAATGTTTTATTGAATTTTAAATATTTTAGGCTGCAAATTTACTATAGTTATTGCTCTTATTTTCTGGTAATGTTGTGTATAGTTGACCATATATAGAAAATTGGCACATTTATACACATGAAAAAAAAAATCAAAATTCTTTAAATAATATTGGTGTTTGAAGAATCTGTACCAAACTTTTTCTATTTATAATAGACATAAAAAAATGAAATTTATAAAATAATTTCATTAATTTGTGAATAAATCCTGAGTGTCGTTAAAATCTGACACTTATTTGATATTTGCAAGAATTTCCAACTGAAAAAAAAATTTTTTTTTTCTACCACAAATTGTTGACCACACTAGAAAACACACTCTCTCCCAGAAACTGTAACTAAGGTCTGCTCATCATAGTTGCAGTATAAACCACAGGTGGGCTCTGTAGGTGTTGAGCAAACACAAATGTGCCTGAACAAGCGTCTGCAATAGGGATTAGCTAGCTGCCCTAGTAGACTAGTATCCTCAACTACAAGTGGCCAGAGAGAGATATATAGGGGAAAAAAATTATTAAAATTGTGGATAGTGTATGTGAATATAAAAGTGGCAGCAGTCTGTTTCATGCTTGAACACAATCTTCTGAACATGGCCTCAAGTTCAAGCATGAGCTTATACACTGAATGGGCACAAAGTTGGTCTCCAATTTCTTAAAACCTCAATCTTACAAACAAGAGATTAATTGTGCAGTTTGTATTTGTAAAAAGCAAAAAACAAGATATATTTTCACATCCCCCGACAACTTAAGATTAAAATTGTTGTAAGCTGTAACAAACATTTTCAGTGTTCAGCATTAAGATATAGGCTTAAGGAAATAATGGGATAATTTTTCTTTTTCTTCTCCTACAAGGATGAACCTACAAACAACTTGGATATTGAATCAATTGATGCTCTTGGAGATGCCATCAATGAATATGAAGGAGGTACGTATATTTTGGTTAAGAATTTTTTTTTTCTTTAAAATCAGATGAAGTTTAATAATTTTAAAAGTTTGTAATTTTTTTTTTTTTTTTCCCCCATGCTCAACTCTCAGGTGTCATTATTGTCAGCCATGATGAGCGCTTGATCCGAGAAACTGACTGCCAGTTGTGGGTAATTGAAGACAATACAATAAACGAGATTGAAGGAGACTTTGACGATTACCGACGCGAGTTGCTCACTTCTTTGGGTGAGGAATTGGCCAATGCCGCAGCTGCCTCTTCCTCTTCAGTGAAATGATTTTTGTAGAATTTTAAAAATCTTTTTAATATAAATAAAATTGTCTGTCACACTTCAATTATAAAGATGCCTTTTTTTTTCTTAATTTCTTACATTTACATTTTTTAAAATGGAGAATGTGCAGCCATCAAAATCCATGAAACTCATTTCCGCACAGAATACAACCAAAACAAGTGGATGGCATTAAGGAAATGGTTGGAGCGTTAAAAAGCAGTAAGTTTGCATTAATGTGTCTCCAGTCAGCAAAACATTTACACATTAACTGCAAGCATGTTTGGACAATGTCTGATTCCTACCCTACTCTGAAGAAAAGCTCTGTCTCCCGAAGCTTTTGATCTCATATGATGTATTATTGAGAACTTAACAGATATATCTTACACATTTGCAACCCAATTTGTGGCAGTAAGGATTGATGGTCTCAGTCATTGAGGAGGGCCTACTTACAAGTACATATGCAAAAACCATGAAGGTTGTTTCAAACTGCATAAAGGGTTGGAGTTTAGACTTAGTGAAAATCAATTATCAGTATAAGTTTGTGACACTATTTAGCTATGGTAATTAGATAACTAATTAACCATAAAAATTAAAACTAGAAATACTGAGCATATAGAAAGAAGTTATCCCGATTAATATACCATTTGATATGAAAAATATTTCATTTAATTTCCCAAAAATTTACTTTTCACACAAGACAGTAGACCCGTAGAAAAGCCATATGTGAGATTTTGACAAATTGATTAATATTGTTGTAAAGAAATGCCTTGCCAAGAGAAACATGAGATTCGGAAAAGTGAAGCATTGAGATATCAGGCAGACCATATGGCGGTCATAAAAATTTCAGCCTGACATGATTGCCAATACAGGGTAAAGAGAATCAATATTTATTATCTTCCCATTTTTTTTTTTTTTTTTTTTTCTTGAGTACTGGCAAAGCAAAGCCATATGGTATTTGTGGGAATTTTGACATGAGAAAAATTTATCCCAGTACGGAGTGGAGAGGATTGTTATTGTTTACTTTACCAAATTGTTGCCTACAGCACCGATATGTTGAGTAGCAATATGGTAATTATAAAATTTGGGGCATGAGAAAAGATAGTGTGGAATAATCATGATTTGGGAGATAAGGAATTTAATTTCTCAAGAAGCCAAGGGTTCCAGTAAAAGCTAACTTCATGAAGGGACCAGATGGCAGACTTTGACAAGTGATTGATGGAATTTGTAAAGGGTGCTGGTTAAGAAAACTCCGAGTGACCAAAAGATCTGAGAGGTTTTAAGTTGGAATCAAAGATTTTGGCTGATGACAAAAAATAGAATTTTGTAAACAAAAATTCTGGGTTATAATTTTAAGGAGGCCAGCTTAGCCATGCCCACAGAGCTGGGATGCTGTTGGTCGAGTGGTAGCAATGGTGATAGACAGAGGTAATTTGATGTAAAGGATGGAGAAGTTATTAATGCCCACTCAAGGTATTGGTATGAGGTATCAATATGAGAGAGGAAGAGTTTAGGAGGATTCTACCGGGTAGCAACAACTAGGATTCGACCCAGGACAGGCCAGTGTCACATATTGGTACCCTGACCAAGGGACTCCACTGGGTAGTGATCGACCAGGACACAGCCTGGTGGCAGCAACTAAGAGTCAACCCCAAAACACCAGTGGAAGAAACATTACAGTTTCACGCCGTGACTGAGAGTTGACCACAGCTCAGAGTCACAAGGTCGCAGAATGAATCCATCCAGTTTAAGAGCCAGTCAAGGTAGGGAATTACTGAGTGAGGTTGTTATGAAAATATACAAGTTGAGAGTAAAATTATTATGAGGGCATGAATGACAGATTAAGATTGACTAGAAGAGATTAAGATTGTAGGGATTGGAGAAACATCCTTTCATCATAACAGTTCTGGAGTGAAATTTCCTTCTTACCAATGGCATAGAAAGGAAATAAGGATGCATTTGTAAATATTGTCCTACCAATGATGGTTTGGCCTGGTGAAACTAATGAATGAAGCTTATCTGTGAAGATAAAAAAAAAAAAAAAAAAAAGTAGCAAGAGGTGATCAGCATTTTGTCTGGGAGAAAAGCATAGCAGGGTGGAAAAAACTTGAACTCTTGTCATGACTAGAAAGCAGCTCCAACCAAGATATGCCAGCAATACTCCATTTCTGGTCTGATCTGGCTCTTGTGATAGTACCTGGCTCCTCCTGCCATGCTCTTTCTGGAGTGGTACTAGGCACCAACCATTTTTCCACCATCTTTAGTGATAGATTGCATATACAAGTTCCACTTGATGTCTGGATACAGATTTATTAATTGTCCGAGAATGTTCTTAGGCAGATTAATACAAAACAGAAAGAGGGTAGGGCCAAACAACTGGCCATTAACAATGACCTTGAACCTCCCAGATTGGTAGACAATTATCATGTTCTTTCTGAGATGCTATAGCTAAAGAGGGTGTAGCTGCAAGTATACAACACAATGCTCATCCAGATTTCCACCAACCAGCCAGTGTTTTGTATCTCATTCATGTTGGCATTCACCAACTGGGAAAGGGCTCACTGCATATTCACAAGGTAATGAAGATGAAAAACAAATACCATGTTGAGAAATGATAATGCAAAGCCTGATTCCAATATTATAAAATGGGTGTTTTTTTCTGTTTTTTTTTTCCAGTGTTTTGTTTTTGCATCTGGGCCGGGGTTAATAAATGATACCTAGGAACAACAACTGTTATATCAGTCTAATATCTTAACCCCCAAAAATATTCCAACATGTCAATGGTTATATTGAACAGTGGACAGCATCACTTTTACTGTTGTCATTTGTGGGCTACACTTTATTCCCTTCAACCGCAAAACAAAAAATAATTTAAAAAAAAATAAAATAAAAGCGAGTACTGTAGTGAAACAAAAACTGCTTAGATAATTTCAAAGAACGCATTCACTGATTATAAAACAGAAACACTTGAGACCACAATAAAAATCACTTTCCTCTTTTGTATGAGTGTCTACCATAGCAACACCTTGTCAAAATTCTTTGAAATTTTTTTTTTTTTTTGGCTTATTTGTGATGAATTTATTATCAAGCACTTAACTGGTTCCATGTATAATGAATACCCCACTTTAGAAAAAATTATAAAAACCTGTGTGGCTTGTCCCTTTAGTGTCAAAAGTAGCTGTTTGAGGTGAATGAATGTTAAGCATACCAGTTTGTAGGCTAAGCCCGATTAATGTGGCAAAAAGGAAGACTGAATGTGAATGACACTTAGATTATATATGAAACAGTAGTAAAGATTGCATGACACTCATGGATTGTGGTCCTGCTCACTTTTCAATCTGACAACCATTACTTCAACAACTGGAAATGCTACTTACTAGCTGGAGTCAGTTTTATGAATGACATCTGTCAGCAGAGCTGCTCACTAACAATGATGCCGCATTTCACAATAGATATTTAATTTCAATATGTACACACAAAAGCAAGGAATGGCATGATGAAAAGATACCACTATTGCATCAAAAGAATGGTGGCTAAAAAATAATAAATTATTAATTTCATTTTCAGCCCTTATTGCTGCAATTACTGTGTCTTTAAGTGGTTCAAAGAATTTTGGTATTAGTCTAGACAATCTGTCTGCATCACTTAATTTTTTGGATGTTAGAAATTCCATTTTATAATTCTAGTTCAATAGAATAGTTCCCCAGCATTGCAGTCTATTTGCTGTATGTGTGGGAACACTCTTTTTTGATCCATATACAGACGATGGTCTGTCTGTAGTATGAATTCTCTACCATGTATGAATTTATGGAACTTTTTCATAGCAAATATGATGGCCAATGCTTCCTTTTCAATCTGGCTGTAGCTTTTTTCAGCTGCAATTAATGCTCTTGAAGCATGAGCTATTGGTTTAGTTATTCCATCCTCATATTTGTGTAGTATCAATGCTCCAATACCCAAATCACTTGCATCTGATGCAACCACAATCTTTAATGTAAGGTTAAAATGAACTAGTGACAAATCCAATGTTAAGACTGCACTTTGGCACATTTCTGTCCAATCCCATTTCATAAGCAGTTTATTCAAGGGTACTCTTAATTCGTGCATGTTTTATATATATGATAGTAATTAGCAAAGCGTAAAAATGCTTGTAACTTTGTCACATTTGTTGGAGCACGTCCTTTATTGCATTCACACTTGAAGAATCCGGTTGTCTACTGCTTTCATTGATAATCTGTCCTAGATATTTATGTCTGGACATAAACAATTTGCATTTTCCTTCACTAATCTTAAAACCATATTCCTTAATTCTTTGAAATAACATTTTTTTTCTTTAACACATCTGCATGTTGCTTTTGGGTCTTGCTTTTAATAAGGACATCATCCAAATATGCTTGAGTACAATCCAAACCAGCAAGTATGGTATCCATTATTTGTTGGAATATGCTACCTTTATACCGAAAGGAAGTCGGTTGAATTTTTTTAACCCATTATGTGTTGTTAATAATTTTGAGCACTCTTCGTCCACTAGTACTTGTAGATAAGTGTTTGACAAGTCCAATTTAGAAAAAAAAAAAAAAAAAAAAAATTTACCTCCATTCAATTTGGCAAAAATTTCCTCTGGACTTGGTAACGGGTAGTTATGTTGTTTCAAACTTTCATTTAACCTCGTTGAAAAATCAACATATATGTGGATTTTATTATTCTTTCTATTTTTTTTTTAACATAGACGGTTGGTGATACCCATTCAGAATAGTCTATTTTTGAGATTACACCTAATTTTTCTAGTCTGTCCAATTCATTATTAATTGGATCTAAGGCCACAAAAAGTACATTGCTTTTTAGATTAAATGTTCATGTTACATTCTCTTTTAACTCAGCTTTTGCTTTCATGCATGTCACTAGACCTTCTGAGAAAACTTCTGGAAAACTCTTCTTCAATTCATTTTTTAATTTTCCAGTTGTTGTATTAGTACTGATCTCAACAACATTTATCTTGTAAAAAGAAT